TTCCCATCCTGGTGCCATGTCTCGGTTCCCATCCTGGTGCCATGTCTTGGTTCCCATCCTGGTGCCATGTCTCGGTTCCCATCCTGGTGCCATGTCTCGGTTCCCATTCTGATCAGGGTTTGCTCTCACCAGCCCCTGATCCAGACGGATTTCCAGGTGTCGCTTTCAGAAAACAGTTGGCTGGGATTAAACCCCCAGAACTGCTTCTCCACTCGATGCTCTGTCTCCAGCTTCGTCTGAATGCTGTTGAGTCGCAGTGAGTGGGATGGGGGCCTGGTGCGTTGGTCCTGTCAGAACAGTGCTGTCACATGAACCAGTTGGTAGGAATGTGTCCTGTGAAATGTTGATTTGTTTACTTTAATACTTTTCTTTTTATCTGTTGCATAGGTTACGCATTACAAGCAGTACCCACCCAATACTAGTAAAGTCTACTCATATTTTGAGTGCCGGGAGAAGAAGACAGAACCCAGCAGGGACAGGAAAGTAAAGTATGACAAAACAGTCTTCTATGGTCTACAGTACATCCTGCACAAGTACTTAAAAGGTAGTCACTCCTGTTTCGTAACTTTTTGTGTTTGTTTTAAATTCTCATGTATTAAAAAGGAATTCCAGGGCACACACTCCACATACACTTCCTTCTAAAATACATCAACCTGAAGGCTTCTTGAATTATTGAGGTATTTGTACCTTGCGTGCCAACAAGGGAAAAATGTGTCTCTTGTGATGAGTTCAGGAAACCGCACTGTTGCTGCTCCCTTTCATCCCTGCCATTTTATCTCTGTCATCCCCCGCTGTCACCCATCCCTGTATCTCCCCCCCTCTACTACCTTGGGGGGTCCCAGGCAAGGTGGTCACTTCAGAAAAGATTCAGGAGGCAAAGAAGGTGTACCTGGAACATTTTCAAGATGATGTGTTCAATGAGAGTGGTTGGAACTATATTCTGCAGGTAAATGGGTTAAACAAATATCTGTAGTTACAAGATTTTGTAGAGCTGCAGTAATTTTTGTTGAAGTTTGCATAATACAGAAATGATGGTCAGCTCTGCTAGTTAATGGATGTACTCATTTTTCTTGGAAGTATATTTTCAGTATTTTTCTGTCATGAAATATTTTGTCATGTTTTTCACACGTCCAAAAGTGATGCTTATATGAAATACACAGTACTCAATTATTAAAAATGTTTTTATGTCATATTAGCACGTCAAATCCTGTATTTATTTTGAGCTGTAGTTAAAGTGGATATTTATGTTCTTTGCCTGTTTGTTAGGACCTAGGTCTGTGCACTTCATTGTAGAGTCATACGTGCTATTTGTGGCTTTCAGGAGTATGATGGTCACCTCCCCATCGAAGTCAAAGCTGTCCCAGAAGGCAGCGTGATCCCACGTGGAAATGTGCTCTTTACCGTTGAGAGCACTGACCCCAAGTGCTATTGGCTCACCAACTGGGTGGAGGTCAGTGAAATGGCACTCAATTGGTTGAGAAATGGATCCCTGTGTGGTTCATCCTACATTCTGCCAGATATAAATCTTCCCCATTCAGAAAAACTCTGTGTCCAATCATTTATTCATAAATGACAGCCCCCCTTATTTTCATCTTTTCTTGATTTGTTTTTATTTACTTGGCCAGTGGTGGCTGCTGTTTATTTAATTGAAATGGCTGTTTGCATGTTTCATGATGGTTGTTGTTCACTCAAAGGTAGGTTAATGGTGTACATGTTTAACCTTGGTGTCACTGTGCAGAAAAGAGAATGATTTCTGAATATGACTTTTTATGATCAGAAAAAAATACTCCCCAGATGAGTATTGAATCTAACCAGCCCTTAGAATGTGAGCGTTGACCTTGGTCTGCTCATCATAATCATACCATGCCGTCATGCCTGATGTTCACTTATATACTTTTTCTCCTAAATGGTTTTCTTCTTTGAAGTATTTCTCCCAACCCTTCCATCTGCTTGAATGTAGATCTCAAATGTCCTTATCCACAACAAATCAGGAGAACCTTAAAGCAGGAGGTAGAGCATCAGCTATATCATCACCTCCAAAGGGCCTGCAGGCAATGCTGCCTTAGCATAATCTAAGGGCCCGGAATGAAGCGCTATCCGTCTGGGAGGCCTAAATTGTCCATCAGTAGGGTACAGAGTGTAACACTCCCAAAGTAGTATTACCCTTCCCCACCAGACAGTATCCACTGAGAATTTCTGTTCTGGCTTCATAGTCAAAGAAGTCAAGTCAAAGGTGGACTATGCTTGACGCTCAAGGAATACTATCCCAGGTCCTATAGACACCCTTTGGCTTTTGACATATTGCATGGTGCCCTTGTAACAACCTTGTTCACACACATGGTCCATGAATGAAAGATCTGGTGCTGACCCAGTAGCCTTGTCAAATGAACAGTCTCTCATCTCCTCTTCCACAGACGATTCTAGTTCAGATCTGGTATCCCATTACTGTAGCCACCAACTCCAGGGAACAGAAGAAGATCCTGGCCAAGTATCTGAAGGAGACTTCTGGGAGCCTTGATGGTCTCGAGTACAAGCTCCATGACTTTGGTTATCGGGGAGTCTCTTCACAGGAGGTAATCTGAGTGTAGCCGGGGCTTTAAAACCCCATGAATCAGGCCCAGTTCAATAGCATTGAACCTGTTTCAACCATTTTCTAATATTTCACTTCTGGCCCATTTCCGCGACTGTTTCAGTCTACTGTAAAACCAGCAAGTTTTTCAATGGTCTGGTTGTCAGCATTTTTTTTTGTTTTGTTTTGCTTATATCTGTTTCAGACAGCTGGCATTGGAGCCTCTGCACATTTGGTGAACTTCAAAGGCACAGACACCGTGGCTGGTATCGGGGTCATTAAGAAATGCTACGGCACCAAGGACCCTGTGCCCGGATTCTCTGTGCCGGCAGCAGAGCACAGGTAGAGCTCCTGCAGATACCAGGCTGCCGCCCCTCACTGCTTAGCACATGCCTTCAGTCTTTTTTATTAATTTATTTATTTTAAACTGAAAAGCATTTTTCTAGATATAGTGCATGCTCCCACATGTCTCTTCACAGTCAGTAACCCATATCTTTTGGGAAAATGCTTTTTTCCATTATTTTTTTCAGAATTGCATATTTATTGCTTCATGTTTTGACTGTACTGCCCTCTGCTGGCTGCTATGTCTCATGGTGGTAAAGGGTAATTGGTAACACATGATTTCATGTACATCTTCATCACATTCTCACAATGAAGAAAGACAGAATCAATGGAACAACAAGGGCAGAGATTGTCCTAACTGAACTTAAGTGCTATAAATGGTGCTCTTCTCATATAGGTCGCTAATGTTTGTTTTTCTATAACGTCCGTGCCTGGTGGTAAAATCAGCAAAACATGCACTCTTTCTGTACCTGTTATTTGATGAGAAGTTCCTTTTTTGTTTGTGTGACTCAGGGGTCTGGCATGCTTTCCACTGACTCACAATGTTCCTAATTCTGCTCTTTCCCACAGCACCATTACCGCCTGGGGGAAGGACCATGAGAAAGACGCCTTTAAGCACATCGTGACACAGTTCCCCTCCGTCCCGGTGTCTGTTGTCAGTGATAGCTATGATATTTACAATGCCTGCGAGAAAATTTGGGGTGAAGACCTGAGGGACCTCATCGAGTCTCGGAGTGCTAAGGCGCCTCTGTTGGTGCGACCAGACTCTGGAAACCCTCTGGACACCGTACTGAAGGTAGGCTAGGGCATCATCACAACATGAAAGAACCCTGATCTTTGTGGCATGTACTGGTCAGTCAGCATAGATGCTCAGTCAAATCACGTCAAATCAATCCTTCAAAACCACTTGTGGGCAAATTCACAACAGCAGAGACAAAGTAGTGCAAATAAAAGAAAACAGGAAGTGCAAACAGGAAGTACAGGTGCTCCTCGACTTACAATGGGGTTGATTTGGTTAAACGTAGGAAGAAAGACACCATACGATACATTGCTAAACCCAGTTTATGCTTGCAATCGCTACAGAGATTGGAAGCTTGGCTGGTGGACGCTGCCATACTTCAGTATAAAGTATCATACAACATATCGCTAGCCTGGGAACAGATCAAAATTCAAAGACAAAACCCAAAGACTACTGAATGTGCATCACTATCGCAACCATCTTAAAGTCGAAATATCGTAAGTCGAACTATCATAAAGCGAGGAGCACCTGTATACAAAAAATGGTAGTGTAGAGCATTGTAATGACAGTGTGCAGATTAGTATCAATAAATAAACGAACAGCCATATGAATGCAAGTCTGAATGCACAATTGAGTACATTCAGTAGAGTACAATACGATGATTTTTTAAAATATGATTGAACAATGTTCATTTGTTGTTGAATAAGAAGACCGATGCCTTATATTATCAGAATTTTTATTCCGTATAACTGTGTAAGAATTAATGTCCTCTTCTGTCAGGTCTTGGATATATTAGGCAAGAAGTTTCTTCCTGTTGAGAACAGCTTGGGTTTCAAGGTTTTGCCCCCCTACATCCGAGTGATCCAGGGCGACGGTGTAGATATCAACACATTGCAGGAGGTGGGTACAGTCGTCCTGTTTTCTGGGGCCAGCGCTTTGCTAGAGGATGCTCTGTCTGACCTTGTGCCTGTGCTTGGGGGGGCAGATTGTTGAGGGAATGAAGACGAACCGGTGGAGCATTGAGAACATCTCCTTTGGGTCTGGTGGTGCCTTGCTGCAGAAACTGACTCGAGACCTCCTGAACTGCTCCTTTAAGTGCAGCTACGTCGTCACCAATGGTCTTGGGGTGAGTCCTTGCCAGGGTCTTCTCTACTTCTAAAAACTGCTACAATGGATCAGACCACACCTTCTCAGTCATAGTTACCAGTCTTCCACTGCATCAAGTGACATCAGCATTCTTGTGGGATGGTCGTGCTTTCGGCCCAGATTTCCGAGGTTCCACTACGTTCTCCTCTACTACTGCCACATCAGGTTCCCTATTGTTTCACACACAGCACCCGATTAGTTTGGGAATATGCCTCCTTTTCCCTACAGGTAAATGTGTTCAAGGACCCTGTAGCGGACCCCAACAAGCGCTCCAAGAAGGGACGGCTGTCCTTGCACAAGTCGCAGAGTGGGGAGTACCTCACCCTGGAGGAGGGCCGAGGGGAGCTGGAGGAGTATGGAGTGGTGAGCATTTCCAAATGGCCTCTTATGTGCTTGTGAAGCTTTAGGGGTTAGTGGGCTGCAGAGAAGTTCTACACCTCCTCGGCTTTGAGTTTGAATCTGACTGTAGCTGAAGTTTTATATATTCTCCTGTTTTTCTCCTCTTTCCCATAGTCCATACATTACACATTTATGTATTTGGGGTAAGGGGCTTTGCTCAAGGGCCCAATGATGACTGTCAGCCATGAGGTTTGAACCGCTGACCTTTCCATCAGAAAGCCATGACCTGCAGAGCCACACACTCCGCAATACATGGTTTTGGAAGATGGATGTTTAGAACCTGTGTTTTACGTCCCCTTGCTTCTTTTTTTCCCCACATGTTGCACTTCATCTTTCATATATTTGTTTCACATTTTCATCCCAGTTCAGCTTCTAGCTGAAACTGGCACTGGATTCCTTGCTCTGGCTGTGAGTGTTTGGCACAGATGTCATTCTCTGATTCCTCGGTGGCCGGCCACTCTTTCCTTTGGTGTGGCGAGTTTGTAAACGGGAAACTCAAGATCTGTCACTACTAGCACCTTTCCAGATGGCTCTGATACCCTCTTTGAATTATTTGCCAAACCTCTACAAGAAGACTTGTCCCTTAATGTTTTCAGTCAAAAGATGGATACATTATTTTTATTTATCTAATGTATTACTTTTATCGGCCATTTATTAGACCAGTGGTATCCATGGTATTTTTTCAGTGCCTTGGAAATACACTGGATTTTTCTTTGTCTTCTGTGTCATGAGAGGTCCAGTAAAAAGTCTGGTTTGAGAAGCCCCAATGTATGTCAGGCTGCTGAAGTGGGTGCAGCATGTTGCGTTCCTGCCGCTCTGACTCCGCTTACACCCGCTGTCCGGCAGGGACGCAGTCAAGGCTATGCTGCAGTGCCGTTCGGGTTTGTGGAAAACTATTTTGGAAAAACCGTGGTCATTTTGGGGACCTAAACCTTTGAGCCAATGAGTTGTGATATTTAAGGACATTGATAGATGTTCTGATTTACTTTTTTAGTTTTTTAGTTTGTATTTTTAACACAAAAATTTTGCAGAACTTAGAGCAGAAATGTCAAATGAAACCAGCAAATTATTTGTGTGCGTGTCTGTGTGTGCGAGATTAGCACTTGCTTATAAAATTGGCTGATATTTCTGCATCTCCATGCAGTTAAATATTGCACAACAAAACAAAAAGAAATCTCATGATGGAAAAACAGATGTTTTGTATTTCAGATGTCTACATTTTAATCTACTACTCATCTGCCCTTCATGCTGTTTGTGAATTGCTATTAGAGGTATGTTCATTGCACTTCAATGGTCAAATCTCATGCTGGTTTCTTCGGTATGTCTGTGCCCATCAGGACCTGCTGCACACAGTATTTCACAATGGGAAGATCGTGAAGACCTACACGTTTGATGAGGTCAGAGAGAACGCCAAGCTCAAGGACTGCGAGGTACAACAGCTGCTGAACTGACCGAGCTACAGCCTGCCCAGGCAGCACTGCATGTGCTCTCTGTGCTAGGGGGGTCCTGGGTCCTGTTTGAGGCCACCACCACTGTTTAAGACCACCACCCGCCGCCCTGCACCTCTGGCGTGGAGAGAAAGCCAAACACCTGCCTGAGCTCAGAGAGAGAGAGAGAGAGAGAGAGAGAGAGAGAGTGCGCTCACAGAGAGCTTGTAGGAACAAACCCCACAGAATGCGTCTGTATGCCGTCTACAGAACTGTATGCTACAAATTACGGAACTTTAAGCTTTGTTGTATATTTAATGGTGGGACGATAAAGTTAAGAGACTAATACAGTTTGAGGACTTATTACTGTACATAAACTATTGAGTAGACCACTATTCTGAAGTAAACATGCACATTAATGAAAGTGTCTGAACTTTAATCAGCTATAGAACCTTAAGGTAAATGTTAAATGTTGATGAATGTGGATGTGTTTTGCAAACTGTTAATTACCTGTTGTTTGGGATTATATTCCTTTATGCAATTTATGTTTTTAAATGGGAAAGGCACTTTTGTTTTTTTCCCTGTTCACCTTTTATTCAGAGAACTGGATCTTTTCTCGCATCACAAATGCCAAATGAAGGTGATCTATTGCCTGTTCTGTAGACTGAGTCCTGTAGCAGTCAGACTTTGTTCTGAAGTTAAGAAATCCACAATGTCCATGGAAACGGAGTAATTGTTTTTTTGTCAAATTTAAAATGTTTATTGCATTACTGTCATCTGGAAATGAAACACTGACAGTTTGTCAGGGGTCATTAAGAAATGCAATGAGATATGGATCAAACGATTTTACTAGAACCTGACTTTACAATTTTGATACTTTCAAATTTAATTTTAATTTGATTTTTTTGACAGGATAATGTTGTTGAAAAGTTATCACACTGAATATTTCTATTTAGGGAAATGTGGCCAAACTGCCTTCTCTGAATTTTTTTGTGTGTTTATGTGTCTGCAGATGTGTGTATTTTTGTATGTATGTATAGCTTAAGTAACTGTTCTGCCTGGTTGGGAAGATGTATCTTTTTCTGTCTGAAGCCCATTTTTATAAAAATCACTATATCATTGGTTTTAGCTCATTTGTGTACAATATTTGAATGCTGAAGGTGATATGTATGTGTGTGTAGAAGTCTGTTATTTTTCTATTTTTTCCTTTCATCACCTTTGGAAATTTTGGATAATGTTATTGTGGAGATATTGACATAATACTGAAATGACCACCCTGTCTGTTTGCCGAAATATTTTCCTCATTGTAAAGTAAAAAGAGGACTGCATTTCCTTTTCTATCTACTGAAAAAATAGAAGAAAAAAATCGACGAAAGCACTAGCATTTAATTTGATGGCACCTGTATCTATTTTCAAGAGGGATCCGTGTGCTTGAAACGTGTGGGTGAAATTTGAAATAAAGCAATAACGAATAGAGCAGTCGCTGATTTGTGTTTTTTTTAGTCTTAGCCGATTTTAGGGGCACATGAGGTGTGACTGCATGCATGTACTGATGCTCTATCTGAATAACAGACCCACCTGTTGGTATACGGGCAAACGCACGTACTTATGCTCTGTCCGAATAACAGACCCACCTGTTGGTATATGGGATTCATGTCAAAACTACACATATAATCGTCTTTTAAAAATAGCAGCAGTCGTAAGGAGTTAATTTCTCCTGAATTCGGCCCTTTTAACTCCATATGATTTTTTTAAATTAGAATCTTCCTTTTGAGTAATATCCATATAGTGATTTAGTACTAAAAACCAATTCTCCAGTACTCGTTACAGCTGAACCTGGAAGCTCTGCCTAGCTGCACTCACGCCTAGTCGGCCCCTCGACGGCACGTACCTCGTCGTTTGGTTTTCGGTGGTTATAGATCGGACGGCTCGTTGTTAGTAAACAAGAAATACTAGCTGGTGTAGATGCACGATGCGGCGAACAGACTGACATCGCCGACGGGTGAGCCTGGGGATCAGTGGGAGGAGAAAACGCCGGGTTACTGGCAGAAACGCAGCTGATCCGCAGTCCTCGCGCTCCGTCCGCGAGCATCAGCACGAGGACTAGCTGGGAGCTTTTTTTCCCGCGAAAGCAACAAAAAATTCGAACATTTGTAATAGTTCCTGTAAATGGCGGGGGTCTTCGGTGGGAAATACATCTATACAGAGATTTATACATCCGAAGAGCTGGTTTGCTGATAATAAAAGGACTGAGCGTTTTACGCCCAACTTGTGACATCTGAAAATCCAGAGTGCCTACTTTTTTCTTTTTAATTTCCGTTCATATTTCAGACTCTTTTAGCGGACGATGTCAGGATTGCGATTAAACCTGCAGGCCATTAAGGAGCCGTTGGGGTTCATCAAAGCCCTGGAGTGGGTAAGGTGCCACGGAAGCCGGGGGTCGGTCTCCGGACAGGGGCGCGCCTCGGTTGCTTACTCTTTAAAAAGTACCGCAACATTTAAACACCTATAATCTCGGTAGTTAAAAGTCTAATCACTAACCGGGGGACTTTTGTTTAGGTATCACAATCCAACAATAGTGCTGCTGGAAGCTGATTAGCTGTCTAACAAACTGTCTCCTTTTATATACGCGTTGACTTTAGCCATAGCTCTTTATCATTCACTAATGTGTTTCCCGCAAGGATTCGCTTCGCCAGACTAGCAAACTTTAAGCGGCTAAATCAGCGCCCGCTGACGCATGCGAGTCCCATAACCGAAATATTAATGTTAACAAAGCGATTTATATGTCCGGAAAGAAGCACAGCATTTAAAAAGGTTTAGACGTTTAGCCATGGGAAAAAAATATTTCCATTGTAATTCCAATAATGCCTTTAAGATACATGTCGTAAATCATGTTACAATAAAGAAGACATTCTTCCCTCTACCAAATCAGTCCTTAAATCCTTTTTTCTGAAATTCCCCTTTTCAGCTGACTGCAATTTTCGCATTTGCAAGCTGTGGCGGATATAGTGGTACAAGCATAGTAACCCTTTTTTGCAAAGATGGCAAGAATGAAACGCTGAAATTCGCCTTCAGTTACCCCTTCAGGTGAGTCAGTTCACATTGCAGTTTGACTAACCTGCTTGGGGTCTCTGCTGACCACCGGCATGCAGGCTCACTGCTTTGCAGGGCAATAGCACATCTGTTCTTCTAAGCAGGGATGAAATAGTGTAGATGAGTAAGGTGTCCTGAAGGACACAACCTAGACATCCCAGTTAAATTTACTAGAAGTAATATGGGATATGTACTGTTTAATTTATTTCTTTGCCTGGGATTCCTCCAAGAATTCTACAGTTTTGAGTAATAAATCATTAATAAGCCATTAAAATGTCCTGCTTAAGGGTACAACAGAAGAGTCCAATCTGGGACTTTAGCAGGACAACCGATAGATTATGGCTTGATGGGCCTAACTGACATGGCCAGGGGGTACTTGTCAGACCTGGAAATCTCTCACCCCTTTAGGTTGAGCCACACGCTGCTCGTGAAGAACAACACGTCACTTTGCAACGTCACCGTACCTGAAACTCACCTGGTGGGAAGCTCTGTGTCTTCGTCCCAGTTCTTCGTGACCGTCGCTGTCCTCAACTTTTTTTACTGCATGGCGGCGCTGGTGCTCTACCTGGGGTACATGCACGTCTACAGGAACTCCAACTTCGTGCCCAAGATGGTCAGTGCACATGCCTGTCTTGCTAAGAGCTTCAGAAAGCATACTGCACGTGTGTGTGTGTGTGTACATGTGCACACACACACATGCTCTTTGTTTTTGGGTTTCTTCCTGGTGTCGAAAATGTGCTTAGGCAATCTGGCATCCCTAAATTGCCCGTAGTGAAAGTGTATTTGTCCTGTGATGGACTGGCATCCCATCCAGGGTGTCCCTCACCTTGTGTCCTGTGATGGACTGGCATCCCATCCAGTGTGTTTCTGTGCTTCCCTGAATTCAGCCACACGGCAGCCCTGTACGCTTGGGGAGTAGCCGTATTGCGAGTAGCTGTTTTCACCAAGTGGATTATTTTAATTAAGTGTACGTAATGCATTTTGAGAAATCTTTAAATGTTGCAGAATGTGTGCAGATCTGAAACGCTTAGCATGCATTCACTTTGTTTACTTGAGCTGGAGAGGAAAGTTTTAATGCACAGTTTTGTCCATGTTAATATGGCATTTTCACAGCCAGCTAATGGGAATCAGAAGTGGGAAAACTGTAAATCCTGAGAGATTATTCAGAGACACTTTCTGGGCAAACCGAAGCATGGAGGATGCATGTCACGGATCTGCTGTTGAGTTTCCACTCCACCTGTGCCCCCAGGATTTCCTGATGACCACGATCTTTGCCGTCTTCTGGCTCACATGCACTTCGGCGTGGGCCAAGGGGCTGCAGAACCTTAAGTATGCCACGGGCACTGTCGGCATAGTGGCCACGCTGGCTGTGTGTCGGGAGGAAGGCGTGGCCTGTGAAGTTACGGAGCTTGCCAGCATGCGCAGCCTCAATGTGTCTGTGGTGAGCTTGCTTGTCCGTCTCTTACCTCACAGGGGATGTCGGACGCCCTGCTTCTCCTCGGGCTGGAAAGTAATACACGAGGCTCGCACACGGCTTCACATTCAGTATTTTTGCACTTCATGTTACATCCCAATGACTGTTTGCTGGCTTGTTGTAAGTATTCATTTTTGCCAGCTGGGTTGATTGTTGCCATCAGGCTTGTAGTCTGCTCACCTTTGATTTCTCCGCAGATCTTCGGCTTCCTTGGCCTGATCTTATGGGTCAGTAATGCATGGTTTGTCTACAAGGAGACCCGCTGGCATACCATGAGGTACACCGCCCATCCGGGGCAAGCCCCCAGGTCCATCTAACCGCTGCCCCAGAACCTGCTCCATGGCCTCCTGAATGTGGAAGGTCCTGGCCTTGTGTTGCTGGATTGCTGGTTGTTCCTCCTGGGAGCGTCTCTGAACAAAGAGGCCTATCATTCTACTTGCCCGTTCTGTGACGGCTAACCGACGTAATATGTTCTTTTGTATTGCTGTTTCTCTCTCATATTCAACATTGTTGTTACTCAGTTCCCCGTTATTCCTTTTATTCCGTTTTGTAAATCTGGTTTAATGTTTGTTTGGGAGCTCTGTAAACACTCAGTTATGTTTTTGAGACTGAGCCCCTCTCTGTAACACTGCAGGAGTATGTTCTGACCTGAAGCAAGAGAAAAGTAACACAATTAATTTGTTATGGATTAGAAGTTAATCTGTTTAGTGAATGAAACACGGAGACTGCAACACTGTTTCTGGTTTGGTCTTGAGCAGTATGAATCCTTGTGGCTTCTGTATATGTTAAGGCTTAATATGTTACACATTTTGGCATTGTTCCCCGAAAACCAGCGTTCCTGAGTTCCTTTTGATTAAAGTCCTTTGAATTGTACTTTGCGTTCTAACATTGATTAAGTGATTTGGTGCATGCAGTATGAGCGCACGGCTGTAGATACGGAAAAGGACAATTGATGCTAAAAAACTCCCAGCCCTACAAGCTGGTAAACGACAGCCACTGTGCGCTCATTGTCATGTTATATGTATTTTCTAAATGCCTCTGCTCATGGGCAGCACACTTCCAAATAAGCAAGTCTTTTTTTCCCAAACTGGACAAACTAGAAACTTCAGCCAGTTGTGTCATCCTTGGTGCTACCAGTGGAGGATGGTGTGGAATTGCCCCCTGCAGCTTGTTTTTACTCCATGTATAGACAAGCACAATCAGTGGAGACCCCCCCCCCTACCAGTGACTGTAGCAGAGTGTGCATCCTGACAGGTTCCTCTCTTTACCGTGTGTATTTTAGTATGTCTATAGCACAGACCGAACGTTGGTTGCAACCATTCTACCACAATTCATGTACAGAGAAATATATTGCTTACTGTCCTTTTAAATATTTGTTGATTAAACTATGAATGTGATCTTGTATAAAAGCAGTTAAACATGGCCTGAGACCATTTTTTCATATTATAACATATGCTTGACTAAAGTAAAAATCCTCCCAGCCCCCAACCCCTAATGGTTCTCCCCAACAACACCAAATAAGGCCAATTTGGCCTCTAGGACTGGAATGTATGTAAATCCCATTGGTATAAAGCTGCTTCTGTTTTCCCCTTTATCTTGTGACTTTACTCCGCCAGCGTTCAGAGAACAAGCCTGACATTATCCCCCCGCTGTGAAAACAGCCCTGCGTGGCAGCCTCTGGCTGATGGGAGGTGCCGTGGCCAATCTGTTACAGCGACACCTTGCTGCAGATACGAGCATCACCTTGTCGACGGAGGCATGCCTGGGGAGGGCCCTATGACCACCCCATTCTGTGGTGCACCTCTGCCTTTCACACTTTCGAACCATGTAGTACTTCAAGCCAAGGATCTGTTATTGCTGCTTTGTCCTTCAAGCCAGGAACCGCCTTGGTCCGGTTAATGAATAAGCGTACCGGGCCGAGGTAGAACTGGGTCAGGAATGTCCTGCTGCAGCAGAAAAGCCACGGACATTTCTAACCACACGAGGCTATGCCTTCCGCTGTGCGTTTCTGTGTTCTGAAGCAGAAAGGGCCGTTAATGATTCTTCCAGTGTGCTTCACAAGGAACGGAGGCAGATGAAAGGAAATCTTAGCCACAACCGACAGACATGTCTGAAGAATTAATCAAGCTTGGTGTTATGCCTCAGGTATGCAAACAAATTCCTCTGCGTTATGTGTCGATGCATTAAACAAGAGAAGGTAACAAAGGAGTTGTTTATTCCACTCTCAAGTGTACAACTATCTGGTTGAGTGGGACCAAACCTGAAAAGCTAGTCCTTTTTGATTGGTCACATATGCCTTATCTGCATTATGACTGGAAAGAAGGACACAGGTGGGGTGCTAAGTCAAGATTGGCTCCTGTAGACAATCATGTGATGTGATGAGGCACACAACTTTGAGGTGAATGGAATTTGTTTTCCTAATTCAGAAGTGTCAGCTAAGCATTAAAATTATTCTGCTGCAGTAATTGCTTAAGGTGGTGGAGCTGAGCACAACGTCCCTTTTTCAGCAGTTCCTGAAGCTAGATGGCTGGGCTGGCGGGGTCTAGACGTTGCTCTGAGCGACAGAGGAACAGATGCAGGTCGTTGCTGTCTGCGAGGGTGATGTGAGTCTGATCTGGGCAGTGGGGGCCTTGTGGGGGGCCCATGTGGCAGAGTGAGAACTGCATGTTCCCCCAAAGATACCAGCCAGACACACAGCCTATTGGGTTTGAGCCTCCCCTCCCCCCAAAATTTGCTACCGATCTGACACACAGCCAGCTGTGAAATAATGGGTCTGAACCTTCCTTGAAATCTCAGAATTTGCTTGTTGCCACCCGGTCAACAAAATCTCCTGAAGGGGACCCCTAACCCCATAATCACCACCATCCAAACTTAGATTCTGGTATCGGGCCTGGCAGAAACTAGCAGTCCATTGAGCTGGCAATGATGAAAGAAATCAGGTCTGCAGCAGCTGGGTCACACTGGACCAAATTTTATTATTTGTCACAGGAAAAATAACAAGTAATTGGGGAACTTCTTTTTTCTTTAATTTGGGGAACATTTGGGAGGGGCAGATATGATTGATTAATAATTACAAGAAAGCGCTGTAATGTTGTATTGTCTAAACCGAAATCCGAAATCAGCCTCTTTCTCTGTATGTATTTCATTATTCATTAATCATGACTCAACTTTCACATTTGTTTGCTGGTTGATTGTGTAACAAACAGAGCTGGGATCATCTGGCATAAGTGCAGTGATATTAGTTATGACTAAGGAATGGTGAACAATGCAATAGTCCTAAAAATAGACACTATATTCTGTCATGGAATTCATGGGAGATCTGTCTGTGCAGATGAATTTAAGAGACAATGAGACAACCCAACGTCGGCTGCTGACACGCAATATTAAAGTTAAAAACACACAGGATATTAAAATTCTTTCAAACACATTTATTAAAGTAAACTTTTCAATTAACCGATGCTCAGATTTTAATGTGTTAACCTTGGTGAGTTTAGGAATCAAGCACCAAAAAAGAAGGATTTTTCTCCAGACACAAGTAAAAAGGATAATTGGTGGATCTTCTTTGTAATTTTCATAACTGAGAAGCCAATTTCCCAAACTCTATCCTATTTTTTTTTCTTTTTGATACGAGACCACCAATGACCTAACATCTTCCTCATCATATGTGAACTGAAAAGTTTTGTCCTCCGCAAGGACCTTCTGTGCTGACTGATGCTGAATACTAAAGTGGAAGGGGCCACAATGAACAAAAACAAAAACAACAATAACAACAACAACAAAAAACACATTTTGACTGATTGAGACTCATTCTACGCTAAGACTCATTCTGGCTCCCCAAGGTTATAACCTCAGAGTGAGAAATACATCACAATTAGTGACTCTGATCAACATATCACCACCTCTGCTTCATATCTCTCCTGGTGTCAACTTCTCCAGGATGTGGGCATTTCAACAAGACATTTTGTGTGTCTGTGGTCACTTGTCAAATTATTTAGTATTAAGTTTTAGATAAGCATCACGGTTATCAGAAAGCAGCAAAAAATTTGCCCAGTCCTCTTTCTAACAGAATTTCAAAAATACCGTGAGTAGCGTACATTATGTTCATCAGTCACCGATAACTGAACCCAAACAAAAACCAGATCTGCAAGAGGGCAGACATATCAAGGTCTCTCAGCAGTCTATTAGACTCTTCATCTTTTAATAATCATTCACTTTTGTTCAGAAAGGGGTGGGATTTATTCACAGTGACCAATAGCTGTCCCACACAACAATCTGTAAAAAAACATTGCTGGGGACCACCCAGGGCATGGGCTGAGACCCACAGTAATAACAGAAAACGAAAAGGAGAATGATAAATGCCAATAAATCTTTCTTTGTGAACCCCTTTGGAAATACATGTATTTCTGCATAAATCACTCTTAACGGTTGATGCTGATGTTCAACTTGCAGTCATCTACCAAACACAACATGTGTCTCGTATATTTTCAACAGCCTTAACCGAACGCTTCTTGCAGTTGCTGATAAGACCTAGGTAGTGGTTAGAAGCTATGATAATGACGAGTCACGTGGACATTTTAGTTATGGGGGGGAAATATTTTCAGTCAAATAATAAATACCAGTGTAATGAGGTGATCATGAGGGAAATCATACATTTTGATTTGATTGTGAAATATAAAATTAATTTATTTTATCACAGTTTTTCTTCTTTTCACAAGATAAACAGAGAGCGCCTCACCAGTTTATTATATCGAGTTATTGACGGGCGAATTGTATTTTGCTTGACGAATTGTATTTCACTGACACCTAGTGACAATTTCTGGGAAAAGTGTAGTGTGTGTCCCTGCCACCATTAATTTACTGGAGAGGACTAGTTCACAAAGTTTTTAAAGTTGAAATATACCCAAGGTATATTACGAAGATAATTGTAGTTCATTTGAGAAAAACAGACACATACACTACTTTTAAAAATGCTAATCACATTAGATACAAAGCAGTACTTACATTTATGTAAAAAGGCATGCACTATTATTTTTTTTTTGATATTCACGTAACGTAAGGTATTTTGTTGTTTCACGTGTGATCATTTTCTCACCGCAGTAAAGCCATGAAAAAAATATAACCAGTGCTTGAAGTGGGGATACAGTACCAGTTGCCGGTACTCACCTTGCTATTCAGTACGAGTTGCCGGTACTCACCTTGCTATTCAGTACCAGTTGCCGGTACTCACCTTGCTATTCAGTACGAGTTGCCGGTACTCACCTTACTATTCAGTACCAGGTGCCGGCACTCACCTTGCTATTCAGTACCAGGTGCCTGTACTCCCCTTGTTATACGGTACTAGCTGATATTGAGAGGATTCAGTACCAGGTGCCGGCACTCACCTTGCTATTCAGTACCAGGTGCCTGTACTCCCCTTGTTATACGGTACTAGCTGATATTGAGAGGTGCCGGTTCTCTGAAGAGAAGAACAAAACATGGGCTGGTACTGAATACCGGTGAGTACCGGCCTACTTCAAGCACTGCTTATAACCCGTATTATTACCACCCGAATGTGGCCGAGCTTCGAGACGAACGGAGGCGGAAATTACCGACAATTACGTCAGACACTTCGGAAGTCTCGTGTCGCTGACAGCGAAGGAGAGAAAAAGCAACAAGAAGGAAGAGCAATGGCGACACTGGACGGGAAGCTGCCGAGCCCGGATACGTTTCTGTACAAACCCTGGTCCACGTACGCCGATGCGGCTAAACTGTACTTCTGTGGCGGTAAGCGTGTGGCCCCCTGGCCGTCGTCTTTTGCGCTCGTCCCTGGCTGTTTAGCTGGCTAGGCTGCCCGCTCTCCTACGTGTACCTCTAGTTGAGATAGCTAACTAGGCTAACGTCTAAATAAACAGGTAGCTAGCCAGGTTAATAAAATGTGAAGTTGGCCGATTGACTCTCAGCCCAGAAGTGGGCGTTCAGACACTGGGTAAGTTGATGAGCGTTCGCCCCGAGCCCCGCGTGCTGTTGCTGAGGTACTTTGACAGATGCCCCTCCTGTCAGTGGCGGCCAGTGCCTAATCCCGGCTTCATTTACCAGGTGTGTGTCTGATAACTTATGTGGGGGGTCAGTAAAAACATCCAGGGCCAGTATAGCGATGTGTCAGTGTGCAGGGTTACCCCATGAGCCCGCTCTCCCCGGCAGGTGCACGCGGGAACGATACTGTCGGCAAGGAGCTGCTCCTAGACGGCCGGGGGGAGGCGATGAAACTCAGCAAGGACGGTAAGTTTTCCGCTGGAGGCTCCCTTACCTTAACTTCTGCCGGTTATAGCCCGTCCTCTGTCAGGGTAAACTCAAACAAGGCTGCCCCGTGTCCCCGGTGCAGTTTTCTATTCTTGTCACTCGCGGGGTGTGATCCAGGCACCTGTAGCTCAAAGATCGACGAAGGCGATAGGTGCACGCTGGAAGTCCGATCGAAAACTATCAAGCAGTCAGGTCTTATAATATAATACATGACATTAGAAATTATACCAGAATATTATTAGAAGAAATACTGTTAAATAAAAATCTACCATGAAGTGTAATAATTTCTCTTTTTTGAAAGGAGACTTGAAATATTCAAAATGAACATTGAATTCTAATTTTATCTTCTTTTTTACCAAAGTAATACCTCGTAATAATATTTGTCCTGCTGATTATTTTCCGTACAAGCTAAAGAGATGTATTGTTTTAAATAATGCATAATAACACCTTCACAGATTGCATACTGATGGATTTGAAGACAAATGCATCTGAAAAACCAAAATAAGTGACTGAGTATCACAAAAAAGCCATTTTTCTGGGATATGAATTTGCATTATCATTACTAAAATATTGAGCACAGAATAAAATGTGTTTTCTGCAGTGTCACCTACAGGCAACTTTGTATCAGAAAGGGTATGATATTCTAATGCTCTGTGACGCTTAAGAGAAACACAATCAGAAACGTTTTTGCTGCTTTGTGAAGTTCTGTTTACGGTGATAGCACAGTGGAGGCGGCGCTGAAGTGATGTTCCCTTTTGCACGTTTTCTGTAAGCCTGGTGTCACTGAATTCTTTTGGCATGTAGTCCAGTCCTCAGTAATTGTTTATCGTGTGTAATGGGTCATGCATGGCAGTCTAGGAATAACTGGTCTCATTCTGTCTCCCCAGCACAGACCCACTTCTCTGGTCAATTTCATGAAGCTCCTGTCTTGTTCTGTCCTATCGATGTTGAGCATTTGTATGCAGAAACATGGACTTGCATGTGTACCTGCACCTGCTCCCAGGAAAAAAATATGCTGGTGTGTTGTGGCCCTTCCCAATTTCTCTATTCATGAACTTGAGGTCACACCATAGTTAATGTAGTTATGGGATTGCCACCCTGTTGTGGCAGTGCGGCCCAGCCCATGCACATTCCGCACGAGCCGCTCAGAGCCATCTTCAGCTGGCAGTATCCTTTCTGCTGCATGTGGGTCAGCTAGGCGGTGCTGCTGCAGATTTATTGTAGTTGTGGTCTTAATCGCCACAGTCTGTAGTGAAGCTTGATCTAGGAGCCTGGGCTGAAGGCTTGCGTAAGCTAGCACAGACGTTCAGGCGAGGACGTCATTTCAGCTTGCCAGCGTTTTTTTGGCATGACTGGGTAAGGTGAAGAGTGCGGGCAGCCTGCAGCATATAGCTGACTGCTGGCATCTTCAGTCTGTTTTATCTAGCTTCTTTGCTCTTGTATGAACATGCTACTGGCGACATTGATCAATTAATTATCATAGTGAACTTTTTATTGCTATAATCGGCTGTAATGTCTGACTTCTTAGGATGAGTTTCTGTGATCTTAATACAATGCCTTCATTGTTAGTGTAGAAGTGGCAAATACAGTGATATTCAATGTCTAACCCATACATCCATCCGTCCATTTTACAGAATATTTGACATCACGGTGTTATGCTGGCTCTGTAAACAGATCTCCCTTTCCTGGGGAGGACTTCGTGAGCTATAGAAGGGCTGAATGTCAGAAAGCAGAACGTTTTTTAACTTTTTTTTTTTTTCTTTTTCCCCCACACACTGCCAGCTCCTGGCAGCGTTCATAATGAATTCACAGAGGCGTAGAAAGTGTTTGAGTGCTAATTTCCCAGCCCTCTGCAGCGAATGGCTACAAGAACACGTCTTATTTATATTGGCAGGCGTGCTGGAATGGGGTTTTGTGGCACAGTCCACGGTTCGTTTATGTGTTTATTTAAGCCTTAAAATTTCTAGTTGAGGGTAATTCGAGACCATCCATACACTGTGACACTTTGGTGAAGGCAACTTGCATCCCGTTTGGCCGATAAATGGCTCAGGGTTCAGTATCCACACAGAGGTTGCTCGAGCCAAACATGGCAACAAAGCCACCGCTGCCATCGTTTTGGGATCTGCTTGCGGCAGACGTTCCCACGAATCACGCAGAGGCCATGTGCTCCTTATAGTGGGAAAATGTAGCGTGTTCAGCGGAAGGCAGCTGTCGGGATGAGACCTCCCATGGCCTGCTTTCCTGCCTCAGTGCACGAAACGGAAAACACAGATTTGGGTCAGAAACATGCCACAAACCAACAAATTTATACATAAGCAAAATAATTATTACACTGTTTGTAATAATTGATCTGCCTAATGGTTGCTTAGTAACACAGGTAGTGCAGGTCTATTTTATAAGATCTGTGGCAGGATGAGTGATGTTTACATGTTCGCATTGGAGTAGGATTTTTTTAATGCAATAAATACTTAAGTTTTGGGAATGTTAATGGATGTGTCCTGCTTGCTATGCAATGTTTCATTCGTCCTCTGGTATAGACTGAGGATGTGACAAGTGACTGGTAATGTGCAACCCCACCCACTTAACTCGCAGCCCCCATGCTTCTCTCCTGCAGACATGCGAGTGTTCGGCCAGTGTCCTGCACAGGATGATTTCTGTCTTGTTGTGTGCAATATCTGCAATCAAGTTGTTAAACCTCAGGGCTTCCAGATGCACTGCGGTAAGTTTTGTTTTCTTGGCTTCTTTTCTTGTGCTGTGTTTGTCTCTGCTTAGCCGGACTGCGTATCTTCTGCATGAATTCACATACTCCTGTGTGCATAGCAGAAAAAAAACAGTCAGATATGAGCTCTGTGAGATCTTCACCTGGGCACATTTGATGGATCACACAGGGTGAGTGCCAGCGGGCAACTGATTTTGAACTTGTCAGGCAAGCTTCCCTTTTCATGGCACTTGTGTTTATGTTGGTGCGCCCCTGAGCTGTGTGAACCTGAACAGGGCTGAATGCTCAGCGTTCTCTGCTCTGACATGTGGCAGGGTGAGTGGATCATTGTGAGGGTCCTAGTCTGGCCCCAGACACTGCAAATCATTTGTGATTAAAACAAACAAAATGGCGGCACATCTCTTTTGTATTTAAACCAAACAGACACTGTCTTCAGACTTGGTGCCCGTGAGGTTGTGTTGCTGTGATCACCTGTGTGTGTGTGTGTTACTGTATCTCTTGCTCCGTCTTGACGTTGGTGAGCGCCGTTTCACCACCGAGCTGCTGGTGTGCGTTGTTTTCTGCCAGCACCATGTTTACTTTCGCTTCTGGCAGTGCATCATGGTGGCTTGGCCAAGTGCCACGCCCCACCCGCATGCTCGGGCAGAAAACGCGCATAGCCCGCTGCGGTGTGGTGGTGACGGTGTGTCTCAGCTGTCACGCGTGGGCGCCTGTGTGCCGCTTGAGGGAGTCGGCTGCTGGATCTGTGTATGCTGTTGATCGGGGATCATTCGGCTGTCCCTGCTGGTGTAATTTGAGTCCTGTCATTGTAGACGCTCAGTCATAGGCTGACTCTCCCTGTCTGGTGAGAGAATTTTCTTTGGAGAATAAACGACTAAGTTCAGAAGCTGGAGCTACTCTTACAAATCCTTTTTACACGGGACTGCATCAGACACTTTGCTTGTTCGGTGGTTTTATGACATAAGTATTCTGGTAGATATTACTTCAATGGTAGCTGGCAATTTTGTTCTTCTGGCCTTTGCAGTAATGCTGTGAAATGTCCAGGACCTCATGGCCCAGTGCCTGTGTGAGTCTTCATGGATGTGGGCCATGGACAGTTTGCGGCTACCAAACCATGAGCTGGACTTTGCACTTTGTCTGGCATGTTGCCTGTTTGCACACCTGCACTAAGATGAACAGGGAGCTTTATCAGGGTTCCCGCGGGGTCTTAAAAAGTCTAAAATTAAGAAAGTTAAACTTAAGGCCTTAAAATGTCTTAAAAATGCTGAGATTTTCATCCTAGGTCTTCTATTTAATTTACCCAAGTCTTAAAATTCTTACCTCCGTTCATTCCCAAAAAGCGTTGTCCGCAGAAAATAAAATAGTAAAACGCTGTGAAACTAATCCGTTGGTTGTGTTTTCTGGTCTGCACCAGTGTCTGCGTGGTAATAAAACTACAAATCCCATTGCGTGATCCCTGCAGCTAGGCAAACAAACAGTTTGAGAGAGAAGGGTCTGGCTGCAGAACGTGCACTTTCAGCCACTGACATCAGGTGCACGCTCAGCCACAACAGGAAGTGCAGGGGAATCAAGCGCTAACTTAGTTCTTGAGGCCAATGTGAACGGTATGTTGTTTTATTATTTGTATTACTGAATGATATAGTTACAAGTTTATTTCATGCCATACATTATTGCAATGTAAATGTTTTGATGTAGTGCGTTAGTAACTTTTTTCTCTGATGACTGGAGTGAATTTTTTCAGTTAAAAGGCAACTATACTAGCCAGTTGGCTCACGTTATCTTATCGTAAAATAAACACATTTCTACTTTTACAGAGCTTTTCATGGAGTTACCTTGTGAATGTCTTAGCTTCCAGCATATAGTTTTTAGTTGTTCATGTGGTCTTGAGGAGAACGTTTCTCGGTCTCCTTATGGTAAGGCAAGGCAAGTTTTTATTATCATACACAGCGGTTATTTAATGTGCTTTATAAAAACAAGATTTTAAAAAGTTAAACCAAGACAAAAAAGCAAAATAGAGATGAAAAAAACCCCGTGTGGAATCCCCGTGTTTATCAGCTGTTTCCAGTTGTTTTCATTAGTCTAATGTATTTAAGTCTGCGTTAGGTATGTTTTCCTCAGTCCGGTCATTGACGTCCGTCTTGCGCTTCTTCAATGTTCCTGTTTTGTCTCCCTTCTAATAAACCCTCGTTCACCCAATCTCACGGCGTCTGTGCTGCTTCTCCGCAGAAAGGCGTGACTCAGTAAACGTACAGCTAAAAATCAGACAGTTAGAGGTTTTAAATTATATCAACAATGTTTTTATTGGTTTCTTTTGTTTAGTTTTTTTAAGCTGGTATCTCTTATCTGAAAAAAATAAACATTTGATTCCTGATGTGTCCAATGTTGTTTTTTTTTTTTCCATCCAGCTTTTATTAAACACAGTTTAATATGTAAGGTGTATTACAGTTCTGATTATATATGATTATTAATAACACAGAATTGCAATTCTAGTTTATGTATATGGTCTTTCTATATCACGGATTTTCACCTATTGCTGATGGGTCTGGAACGTAACTTCCGTGATAGGCGGGGAGGGTCACTATATATTTTAAGGCTTAAACTATAAAAAAAAGTTTATGTATGTGGTCTTTCTATATCGCGGATTTTCACCTATTGCTGATGGGTCTGGATCCCGCGCCTATCGCGGAAGTTACGTTCCAGACCCATCAGCGACCATATACATAAACTTTTTTTATAGTTTAAGCCTTAAAATACCGCTCCCACATGCTTTAAACACATGTGAACTTATTAAAACGCACTTTGTAAACACATATGATATGTGGCTGTTGGGCTAAGGATATGACTGACATAACATATGAGAATTTCTGGTATCATTCGAATGTTTCTAGTAATGCATCGTGTTGGTCTTAAATTTTACTCATAATGGTCTTAAAAGGTTTTAAAAAGGTCTTAAATTTAACTTACTGAAACCTGCAATAACTCTGTTTATGCACAGGTATGGTTTGTGGGTGACAGGCGGTTTTGTGTTTTAGCACTTGTGATCTCGTCAGGCTGGCCTTTTTGTACACTGAATAACGTCTTTAAATTCCATTTTTATTATACTGAGTGTAGCAATACAAATCTGGACTTGGCGCAAATAAATAAAGACCACTGAGACCTGTGACTATCAGTGAGGCCAGTCTGTGCCCATTTAGTTAGTTCCCCCATCTTTTGGGTTTGATATCTTCGTGGGGGTCAGTGTGTGGTTTGGTGGACTGGGACTCTGTGCTTGTGTTTGTAAGGTCACCAGGTCAAATCCCACAGTCGACAAAATGATTTCACTGTTGGGCCCTTGAGCAAAGACCTTGAGTCCCCCAATTGCTTCAGGGATTGTCTCAGAAATATCTGTGACTTTGGATAAAAGCATCTGCAAAATAAATAAAATTAAATGTTAATCCTGGGCCTATGTCATGGTAATGACAGTGTTGCTGTTAACTAGCACTCTGTGTATGTGCATTCGCTGACATGGGAGCAATCATGGCTGCCACCAGATGAGAAAGTGTGGCTCCTCTGTGACACAGAGACCCCCGGGCAAAGCTTCACCTCTGTCTGTCATCTAGAGGTGGGCGATAAATCGATTTTATTGATTAATTCGATTTTACAGTTCAGTACGATGTGTTCTTATGAAAATCGATTTTATTACTTATTTTACACACGAGCGCCAAAAGCGGAACTAATTCAACGCATCGTTCCTCTCGGGTAAATTAGCGCGGCACACCCAAACACTGTAGCAGATTCACAAACATCATGGCAATGGTTTGGTTTTGCGCCGTCGGACACAGACCAAACAAGTCCTCGTTGCAAAGTCTGTTTAAAAACTGTTGCAACCAAAAGAAGCAGCATAACAAATTTATTCCTGCACCTAAAGCAGAGACACACAGCGGAGTTGGAGAAGCGCAGCTCCCAGCGAAATGAAAATACCCGCAGCACCAGCACAACATCCAAAGTTAAGCAAGCAACCGTCCCTGACACGTTTTCGAACTGTGTGCCGTATAAGAATCGGGCACGGTGGAAGGCGAGAACAAACGCTGTCGCGATGTATATTCTGTTACGGTCCCCAGTCTATGGTTGGACATGGTCTTGCAAAAGACATGGTGCCCATACATACTGTGGAAAATCCCTGATTCATTAACATGCTAAAAGTTTTTACAAGTTTCTAAAAGTGTTTACAATGGCGTGGTCTGCCATCTCACTTACAAGCATCTTTTTTGGCTTGTCAGATTGCACTTTAACTCTAAAGTAAATAAATAACTTGTTTTGAACCATTTATTTGTCATCTGTAGTTTGATTTTGAGTAGGGGAGGGGAAAATCGATTAAAATTGAAAATCAGATTTATTATAAAAAAAAATTGGAGATTTTAATTTTAGTCCATATCGCCCAGCTCTACTGTCGCCTCTTCCACAGAATGATCACACACCAAGTTGCTTTTCCAGAACGTTCATAATAAACTTGGTAACCCTGGGCCGCTGTTGCATCGCTGTTTAAAGCTGAGAGTGATCACTGGCCTTCATCATGGGGGTGTCTGTGCCATATGCTTCTTTAGACCTGGTATCAGCACCCATGCCTGACATGGCTCCTTCTAGAATGTTCCCTCAGGGCAGCAAAATGGGTAGCTGGCATGTGCCACCCAGTGCTAACCCCTTTCCATTTTCACTTCCTTAATCATAATGATGATGGCCTTGATGATTGGCATGAACAGTAGAATAGCTCTAATTCTGTCATCATGGCAGCTTCTGGGACTCCTGGTTTTGGATCAGCCTCATCCTCGGCCCTGACCTCATTGGTTTAGGGGTTTGCTCCCCTTGGCATTAGACCTCAGGTGATTGGTCACTTGGTCTGTCGGCCAAAGCCTCAGACAGCCTGACCGCTGTGTAACCGGATGCTGGGTTACCGATGCCGTGATAGCGGCCTGTTATTTTTATGCCAAACTCAGGTCTTCCTCTGCTCTTCCTCTGCTGGTGTGAGATAGTTCCGAGGCAGTACAGTTGAGAGAGACTCTGGTGACTCTCAGGGATCAGAACCTTGTCTCAGGAAAGCTGACTGCAGATCAGAGATTCATCGATTACATCTTTAGACTGTCCAGCTGGCAGATGGGTGAAACTAAAGGTCTGTGCTTGAAGTAGCACCTCTGGCAATGTTCATTTGAGGGTGCAAGGACTGTCTGTGTCCCCAGAGGGTGGGAACAGAACAAACCAATTTTTGTTAGTCAAGAAGTCAATAACCCCCTCGCATAATATTGCATGCTGAGCTGGGTGGACACCTCCCATAACAATTAATGAATTTGAGTAGATTGTTGCTGGCTGCTGGCATATTTTGTGATTTAGCTGAATTTTCAGTAGGTGTCAGACATGGTGTCTACAATAAGCTGTGTAAACTGTGCCAACCAAGGGAGCTTGTGGTAGGGATGGTTAGGGACTGTGCCTTTGTTATGGTGAGGAATGCTGGGTATTGTCATATATTTAGGGATGGTTAGGGACTGTGCCTTTGTTATGGTGAGGAATGCTGGGTATTGTCATATATTTAGGGATGGTTAGGGACTGTGCCTTTGTTATGGTGAGGAATGCTGGGTATTGTCATATATTTAGGGATGGTTTGGGACTGTGCCTTTGTTATGGAGAGATGCTTGGTAATGTCACATGTAGGGGTGGTTAGGAACTGTGCTTTTGTTATGGTGAGGAATGCTGGGTAACATCACGTACGGATGTTGGGGACTGTGCCTTTGTTATGGTGAGGGATGCTGGGTAATGTGACATATATAGGGATGGTTAGAGAGTGTGGCTTTGTTGTGACATTACCCAGCATTCCTCCCCGCATATGTAGGGATGGTTAGGGACTGTGCCTTTTTATGGTGAGGAATGCTGGGTAATGTCATATATGTAGCAGGGCAGAGCATAGGATCTTAGTAAAGACTCATGGCTCCTACTGTCATGGTGATGGTGAGGGGGCTTCTGACCCCAGTTACCATGGAGACAGGCCCCATGAAGCATGCTGTGTCTGTAGGTCATCCCGGATGCAGTGGCATGGGTGCCAGACCAGCACAGGTTGGACACTGCTCCCCATGTTTTACTCTGCTGTTCATTTGGCGCTTCTAATGGGACAGTACAGTGGTGATCTCCTCATTTAGTGTGTCCTCATCCATTATTCCCTGTTGTGTTTCTTGTGGTTTGTATTAAATTTCTCTTAAGCCTGCAAAAGTGTGGTGATAATCACTTGTGTTATTTATGAAGAAGTGTGCTGTTGACATAGTGTGAAACCTGCTCATGCACGCCAGCCATACAGTGATTGGTGAACAGCTTGCTGCACGTTGCTCGGAGAGCCAGGAGGGCCTGGCTGGGCCAGGCTGGGCCTCACCCAGCTGTGTGTCTCACCCTGCCTTTCAGAGCGGAGGCATGGCTCTTCCTCCAGTCCCCGGGGCCTTTCTATCCCCAAGAAGCCTAAAGGTCCCCTAGGCCCCGACCCCGGCGGCTCCCCCAGTGCGCCAGCCAGGCCCTACAAAGCATCTCGAGACCACCCGCACAGTGCCTCCAACAGGAAACCCCATGCCATGAACCCACCCAAAGTGTCCCAGGGCAAGCCATGGTGGGTAGTAAGTACTGGCACTGAGCTGCAGGATGGTTCATCTTCTTCTTCTGACCGACTCCTCCTCCTCCCACCCCTTTTTTCCTCAGTCTTTCAGTACCTGTGGTAAGTCTGGAGAAGATGCCCCCCCTGGGGAGAACCAGGACTGCCCCCGTTCCTCTTGGTGTCAAATCTTCCCTAATGCCACCAGCATCCCAGAAATCTCTGGAGAAAGTCCTCAATGGACGAGGGCTTCCGGGCCCTGCCTGCTCGTATGAACGGCATCCCACCACGTCCCCCGCCACGCTGGACAGACGGCCCAGTGTCTCCCCCTCTGCCATTGACAGGCGGCTGACCCATTCTCCCTCCTCATTGGACAAGCGGCCCAATGCCCCTCCCTCGCCACTGGACCGGCGGCCCAATGCTTCGCCTTCTCCTTTGGATCAGAAGCTCGGTACCCCTCCCTCTCCTCTGGACAGGGGACTCGGTGCCCCATCCTCATCGCTGGACAGAAGGCATCAAAATGGCACAAAGGGGGCCAAGCTGTCAGGTGAGGCTTGCATTGAAGAAAATCAATTAAATAAATACATAATAATGTTAAGTATGTAGCTTAAAATACTAAATGCTTTTTTAGTTGTTTTAATTTTGTATATCACAAAACGGTTAAAGAGAAACAAAACTTTTAAATCCCATGCTTGGGATTCATGAGCAGTCAGTCCCTGTCCAGTTCAGCAAAGCGGGAATCAGCGGGATACCGTCTCTCTGGACTTCACTCGCTCAAACCCACACAGCTCTGGTCCTGATTCGCCACCAAATCTCTCGCCTGTTGCGACTCTCCCGTTTACCACCACCCGTCATCCAGTCATGCTTAAAATCTGTAAGCAAACCATTGCCTTCAAAGTACACAGTCAACAGGCCATTCTTACTGTCTAAAGGGTGGCGACCCAACGCTCTCATGGTGTTTGTAACAGCACTTTCTGTTTCTAGGGCAGGGGTCACCAACTCCGGTCCTGGAGGGCTACTATCCAGTAGGTTTTCTATCCTACCCGGCTTCTGATGAGCCACACTAGTTCTCAGGTAAATACCAGGAGCAGGTGTGGCTCATCAGATGCCAGGTAGGATATTGGAGTTGGTGACCCCTGATCTAGGGCATCACTGTGACTGTCACTGTGGGAAAGCCCACAAAGCAGGGGGCAGCCTGTAGCCTCACACCCCCCCTGGTAGTGTTTTGATTCCTGCCTCTGTGTGTGGAGTTTATATGTCTGTCCCATGTTTGTTTGGGTTTTCTTCTGGTTCTCTCTGCTGCAGAATGTGCAGGCTAACCGGAGTGGCTAAATTGCCCTGTGTGTGTGATTGTGTATGTGTGCGTGAGCGTGTTAGTGTGCGTGCGCCCTGCTATGAACTGGTATCCTATCCAGGTTGTTCCTCCGCCATTTGCCGTGTGGTCCCTGTACTGGGTAAGCGACATGGAGCTCTACACCTGGCAGCCGACTTTTAGCATGGTCCAAATAATTAGGCAGGTCTGTGGAATTAGTGTAAAAGCACTTCTGTGTAATTGTGAGGGGGGAGACAGGCCAGTTGTGCCTTTGGGTGACCTAGCTTTCTGTATGAACTAATGCTGTGACTTCAGACCTTCCTGTTTATGCTTTTGTGGCTTTTTCTTCCTCCCAGGAAGGATTTTTGACCCCAACAAGCACTGTGGAGTCCTGGACCCTGAGAGCAGAGTCCCATGCACGCGATCGCTGACCTGCAAGGTTCGTCACGGGCCGCCATGCAGTAGGAGCCACCTAATTATATTGATAAAGTATCGTCGGGGTCGGTCGGTGATGCAGGCAGATAGGCACTTTTAATTGGCTTTAATTGCGTGCCCTCTGAGAGATTTAATGTATTGTGATGATCTCTCTCTCTCTCTCTCTCTCTTTAATTCTTTTGTGTGTACCGTCCACTTTCCAGACGCACTCACTGACACACAGACGCGCTGTGCTGGGCCGCAGGAAGCTTTTCGACTCGCTTCTGGCAGAGCACAGGGGGCGACTTCAGGAGAGCAACACGGGCCGTGGCAAGGAGCAGGCGGGCTGGAGGGACTCATCCAAGGCTTGGCCCACCCTGTCACATGACTGCCAGAACGGTGTGCCTGCAAACTGTCATGATGGCAAAGGCGCAGCCACACTGAAGACCCGCTTCTGTCTCAGGTGAAATTTTTATCCAGCTCTAGTTCCACTCATCTACAGAAACAACAGCATTGCAGAAATTACATGAAGAGACCTCTTTGGCCACCAGAGGGCGCTGTAGCAGTCCATAGCCTTTCTGAATTTTTTTGGTAACTACCTAAAGCAGTAATCATAGTGCATTATAGATACCTTCAGCCATTAAAATGCATTATGAAGGTATTTGTAATGCATTATAGATGAAAGCTTCCTGAGCTTTTTAATACACATGGCTATAATGTGTTATGCTTTTTTATAAATAGTTATAGCTGCTGTTATAGTACTTTATGAATGCATTATAATGCATTGTGAAGGTATCTATGATATCTTCTATACGCTTTAAGTATAAAGTTTTACCTTTTCACTTTATATTGTACATGTAAGGCAGAAGTGGCAAATCTTATCCTCAAAGGGCCGGTGTGTATGCAGGTTTTTGGGATGACCTTTAGGTCAGCTGCTCAAACCCAGGTGTGAGGACTCTTCAGCCAATCAGTCCTCTAATTGGTAATCTATTCAGGGATAAAATTGGGATTTGAGAAAACCCACACACGCAGTGTCCCTGTCAGGATAAGATTGGCCACTCCTGACCTACAGGAGAGACAGAAAAACAGCTGACATGCTTAAAGTCTGCCAGCATGTATTTGCTGCTGTGAGTAGAACATTCACTGGTAAATGTCAGCTTTGTGCTCTTTCTCCCCGTCTGTATTTTGTGTCTCCTGGTTCAGCGTGAATAACGGCTCCGGTGTCATACCTGCTGTGGGGTCCGCACCCCCCTGCCTGGGGGGGGATGACGGAAGCCGAATATCTAGCGACGAGGGTGGCGCTCTGGAGGACTGCGACGCTGCGGACTGTCCCGGCTCGACCCGCCACCCTTTGCCCCTGGGGGTATGTGCTGACATTGGGGAGGCGTGTCCCGTACGGGGCTGTGTCTCACTGATGCGTTACGCCGCCTGTTTCTCTTCCTCTCTCTCCCTGTCCCTCAGTACTGCTCCTTCGGCAGCCGGCTGATGGGCCGCGGACACTACGCTTTTAACCGCAGCCTGTGTCGCCTGAGACGGGCACTGCAGCACATAGTGGACAGACACATGAGCTCGCAGAGGTGAGCACCGTGCCAGTGTCTGTCCCCCGCCATGCCTCTACGCCTGGCTCTCTGGATTACTAGTCCAATAGCTGGATAATCTTTCTGAATGTCTTTATTGTCAGTGGTCTGGCCTGTAAGCCCCTCGTCAGTGTCAGTGTAAGTGGTGCCATCCGTCCTGTGTTGCAGGAAGGTGCCCCTGGTAGCTGAGGGACCCAGGGCCTTCCCTGGGGGGCTGCCCAGCCTCCAGCCCCTGGGTGCACCGGGCTCGGCCTGCCTGTCCCCCTCCGTGTCGTCGTACTCCGTGAGCACCCCCGCCATCGCCGCGCCGTCCAGCGATGTCTCCATGGCGACCTGCCTGGCCGTGTTCCCGCGTGGCGGCCGCGCCTGCAGACCCTCGCCTGAGGAAGTTGACTCGTTTGTGCCTCCCAGCCCTGGCCAGGCCCCCATGTCGACCCAGGGCAAGAAGGTCAGAGCCAAAGGAAGCGGGGGCCAGCGGTCAGCGGCGGCCGGGGGCATCCCGGGAGGCAGGAGGGGCAGGCCCCCCCAGGCCGTGACACCTCCCTGGCAGGCGTCGCTGTCTTCCCCCACGAGGCCCCGCTTCACCGCAGGCTCCTCCTTCAGCTCGCACTCAGCTCCCACCAATGGGGGGCCCCCTTTCTGTGCCAAAGCAGAGCCCCCGGGACACACCCGACACGGCGAGGCTGCCAAGCCGGCGGGCGCTGATGCAAAGGTGTCTCACTCCCTCACGGAGGAGCACGGCCTCCTCGCTTTATCGCGCCCCCACGGGCGGAAGCACAAGATGCCCAGCACCTATGGGAAGGCCAGCAAGGTGGCCAAGGTGGCAGGTCTGAGTGGCGATGACAGGAGGAGCACAGTCAGCTTTCTGGCCCCTGTGTCGGAGGCTCCCCACAGCGCCCCCTTCTGGCAGGTAAAAGCACTGCTTGTAAAGTGTCTGGGAGGGACTGAAATAGCAGTGCAGTGAAGGGTTACCCATGATAAAGGTGCTTAATTAAAAATGCTTACGTGTTTCAGTGTAAGTATATCACTTCAATTATTTGTCTGGGTAGCATCTGCTAAACTGTAATAATTAGAAGTGTGTACTGGCCTTCTTGTGGACACTGCAGTCAGTCCTGAGACCGGCAGACACACTACTGAGGGTGGTAGGAATTTGATTTCATGTGGCTGTGAAACTGCCATCAAAATGAGTTTAAAGTTTCAGCATAATGTGATTAAATAGCTATATTTCTATATTAGGACTGATGAGGGTTAGGTGACATACAGTATCTCACAAAAGTGAGTACACCGCTCACATTTTTGTAAATATTTTATTATATCTTTTCATGGGACAAAACTGGAGATATGACACTTTGGTACAATGTAAAGAAGCCAGTGTACAGCTTGTATAAAGTGTAAATTTGCTGTCCCCTCAAAATAACTAAACACACAGCCATTAATGTCTAAACTGCTGGCAACAAAAGTGAGTACACCCCTAAGTAAAAATGTCCAAATTGTGCCCAATTAGCCATTTTCCCTCCCCGGTGTCATGTGACTTATTAGTATTACACGGTCTCAGTTGTGAATGGGGAGCAGGTGTGTTAAACTTCGTATTATCGCTCTCACACTCTCTCATACTGGTCACTGGAAGTTCAACATGGCACCTCATGGGAAAGAAAAAGTTGCTCTACTTAAAGATGGCCTAGGCTATAAGAAGATTGCGAACACCCTGAAACTGAGCTGCAGCACGGTGGCCAAGACCATACAGCGGTTTAAGAGGACAGGTTCCACTCAGAACCGGCCTCACCATGGTCGAGCAAAGAAGCTGGGTGCACGTGCTCAGTGTCATATCCAGGGGTTTTCTTTTAAAACAGACGTATGAGTGCTGCCAGCATTGCTGGTGGGGGGTCAGCCTGTCAGGGCTCAGACCATAGGCCGCACACTGCATCAAACTGGTCTGCATGGCTGTCGTCCCAGAAGGAAGCCTCTTCTAAAGATGATGCACAAGAAAGCCCGCAAACAGTGTGCTGAAGACAAGCAGACTAAGGACATGTATTACTGGAACCATGTCCTGTGGTCTGATGAGACCAAGATAAACTCAACTGGTTCAGATGGTGTCAAGCATGTGTGGCGGCAACCAGGTGAGGAGGACAAAGACAAGTGTGTCTTGCCTACAGTCAAGCTTGGTGGTGGGAGTGTCATGGTTTGGGGCTGCATGATCGCTGCCGGCACTGGGGAGCTACAGTGCATTGTGGGAACCTTGAATGCCAACTTGTACTGTGACATACTGAAGCAGAGCATGATCCCCTCCCTTCGTAAAAATGGGCTATAGGGCAATATCCCAATATGACAACGACCCCAAACACCTCCAAGACGACCAATGCCTTGCTAAAGAAACTGAGGGTAAAGGTGTTGGACTGGCCAAGCACGTCTCCAGACCTAAACCCTATTGAGCATCTGTGGGGCATCCTCAAACGGAAGGTGGAGGAGCGCAAGGTCTCTAACATCCACCAGCTCCGTGATGTCGTCATGGGGGGTAGAAGAGGATTCCAGTGGTAACCTGGCACAAGAGAGTTAAGGCAGTGCTGGAAAATAATGGAGGCCACACAAAATATATGACACTTTGGGCACAATTTGGACATTTTCGCTTAGGGGTGTACTCACTTTTGTTGCCAGCGGTTTAGACATTAATGGCTGTGTGTTTAGTTATTTTGAGAGGACAGCAAATTTACACTTTATACAAGCTGTACACTGGCTTCTTTACATTGTATCAAAGTGTCATATCTCCAGTTTTGTCCCATGAAAAAATATAATAAAATATTTACAAAAATGTGAGGGGTGTACTCACGTTTGTGAGATACTGTATTGTACATGGTTTAATTAGTCGAACCTGTGAGAAGCCTGCTGTGAATGAGCAGGCAAAGGATGGAGTCCTTTCTTATCTCCTGTCTGTGGGTGTCTTTGCAGTCCCAACCTAAAGTGCATCACTGAGGCCTGGTGTGTGGAGCTGCTGTCTGCTGCTGGGGCCTCGTCCTCCACAGCGTCGACGACACGCCCGCATCCCTCCTTCTGCCCGGGTTGTCTTCAGGCTGCTGTCCACTCAGCAGATCGCTGCCTCTGATTTTTGCAGCTGAACCCTTTGCTGTGTTTGGAGGGGAACTGCCATCCTGCTTCATTTTTTAGCAGGTATTGTTTGAATGTGTGATATTTATTAGTCAGACTCTCCTTTTTTTAATTAACAAAACTAAATCTGAATTTGGGGATTTCGACTGAGTCCCAGGACAGGACCTGTGCACAGGTGTGGCCTCAGCGCTGGGCCTTTAGCCAAACACAGGCCCACTCCAGACAGAAGTGGCTCCCCCAGCAGATCAGTGTTAAAAGTGCACTTAACCCTGGTCTGGAACTGTCTGTGAAGCAACAGACCAGGTGCTTTGAACCAAGGGAATCTATTTTGCTGAAATGTTTTTTTTTTTTTTTAAATATAGGACAGAGTCAGGTTTTTGAGGAGGTTTGTATTAATTATTGCAAAGCATTCAAAGTTTAGGCTCACCACGTAAGTGTAATATTTTATAGTGTACGTTTTGTATGGTAATTTATTATTTCTTGTAATAACTTTCTAACTGACCTGAAAAGTGCTACAGATGGAAAGAGGAATTATATTTGTACTTCCTTTGTAAAGTTGAAAGTATTATTACTGAGTCCCTGTCGTCGAAAAATGTGTACAAATCCTAATTATTTTTGTATTTATTATTTTTTCAGAGCTAAAAGCATTTAGGGGATTTCTGCCACCCTGGTCTGGTAAATACTGGTAAATATGAAACTATATCGTTTTGTGTCGTAAAGGGCACAGCACTACTACTTTGCATTGGGCCAGCAGTGAGGCCAATTGAAAGAACACCCCCTTCCTGTGGGGTTGTGCACCCTCCCTGCCATGTCACCCTGAAACTTCAGGAGAGTGTCCTCTCGCCTGTTTGTTTTTTTCTTTCTTTCTTTGGTCCTTTTCCCTTAAACGGCGGGGTCCACGACTTAAGCGTGCAGGAAAATCCCACTTCTCAGGATATCCCAGGCCTGCTGAGCACAGGGAACGACATCGTCAAAGCCAGAGCAAAGTGTGGCTGGGTTAGCAGCTCAGCCAAGGCTACCTATCACTGCTCAGCCAAGGCTACCTGTCCCTGCTCACTTTTCTGCTGGGCCTCTTGCTCCAAAAACCCTGGGAGACCTTTGCTTTTATGCACTTTTTATCCTGTGTCAGGATCTTGTTCAGCACTTATTTATATTCTGAAATATGTGGAAATCTAATATTAATTACTTAGGGAAAATGTGTTTTGTTTGCTAAATGTTGATGTTTCCTAAACCCCAAGTATCACAAGTGTACACACACACACACACACACACACACACACACGCCCACACACAGGCGTATGCAGTCACACCCGCGTTCCCACCCTTCTGCTCAGTGCTGCCCTCATCCTATCATACTGATGCATTCTGACAGCTACTCGCCCTTCTCTGCCCACCGTTTTCCATATTGTATATGTCATATTCTTTTCCAAGTCACATTTCTAACAGGACAGGGAGATGCATGGCTTTGGCGGGCCGATCTTCCGCCGTGTCATCACAAGCAGACGTCATATGAAAGTCACCGTTCAGTACTGCATGCCAGAAGACCTCCGTCAGCCACAGGCATGTAGTAGATGTATGGCTAACGTGTAGCTAGCTCCAGCTCACAGCTCGTTTGTGGGTTTTGGCCTTTTAAATAAATTAGATTTTCAGGGCTTCCTGTGCAAAAACAAGAGACTTAACTGCGCTTTCTGAGGAGATGATAATTCTCACACTATATGTATATCATCGATAACGTAGAAGTGTGGTGATGTTGTTTTTCATGATTTTTGAAATATATTTAGGTTTTCTATGGCAGCGTAGAGGTGAATGAATTGTAAAAATTGGACAGCAGACATGGGAGTTAAGCACAATGATCATAGTATATTTTGCCCCAGCTTTTGTACATGTAATTATTACCCTATAAAATGCTGTGATAAGGAGGGAAGCCAGCTGACTTTCAGTTTCTCTTAAGACTGATCCCACTCACATTTGATCATCTCACACTTTGTTCACATGTTCACTGTGATACACCAGATTTTGTTTTTGGGACATTTTTTGCTGTTTGTTACTGGTGGTGGAAAAAAAACTCTGAGGTTTTATTTAATTGCCATCAGTTAATGTACTTTCACCTCTGATTACTGCAAACCACTTAGACAGCATGATCCCATGCATTTATTGTACGACATGAATATGTAGCAGACATTAAAAGTGAGATCAGACCAATACAAATGTTGAGAAAGTCTTGATGATGTAAACTGCCCCCCCCCCAAACCAAAACTAGAAATTTGTTTATGCACTGGACATGTATTTTGGACATGCAGGAAATCATTGAGAGATTTAACAGGGAGATTTCCTCTAAGCCTGCATCCCTTTAGTGGGTGATGTGGATGGCAGCTTGTGTCCTGGTTCATGCTGATTCCAGGCCGCAGGACCCTTTGTGCCTATGTGCTACCACAGAAGATGTAAAACACCACTGGTGATTATTCATCCCTTCTGTAGCATTAATGGGTCTTGTAGCTCTGCCTGTGAGTAGCTGTTTTTAATATGTGTGCTCCTGGGGAGCAATTGCTGGTTTCCTTGAGATGTTTCTGTTCAGCCTAACACAGGGCCCCCTTGCCCACATTTATTCAGGTAAATACAATGCCAGCCTAGGAACTCCTGCCTTTTGCATCATCAGTGCTAAACGCCTAAACCCAGACGTCCCATATTTGCACCCTGAATTAGCACCTGTGACTTATTTAATCGATTTAAGCCCCCTAGCAGGCCGTCATGGTTTGTACGCGGCTGTTGACAAGCAGTCGTTCAGCCAGCCATGAAACAGCTACATAAATGTGTGTGTAGAATGCCTTATTTTTTTTACCCATTGTAAATAGAGCTACATTTGGTGACTGTGTGTTTATATAGAACTCTATGGCATTGCTGATCCTTTAGTGTAAGAAAAATGTATATTTTTTCACTTTTAAATATTCCCATTGAATTTCACAGGAAGTGACATCAGACCTGTAATAGATATGCATATGTACTCGCCAACGGTTCTCCTGTATTCCGTTTGTAGATTTTTCAAGGGGATGTTGGAGAACTAGAAAATCAAATTTCCCGTTTGGTTGTAATGATTACACTAGATATTGTTCCTGTGAAAAATCAGGTGTGTGTGTGTGTGTGTGTGTGTGTGAGAGAGAGAGAGAGAGAGAGAGAGGGAGAATGAGTGAGAGAAAGAGAATACGGTCCGGGTTGTGATCGAGGGTCTAACGGCGGACACGTGGCCATGTTGGACTCTGGGACGATGAGTAAACATGGTTAATGACACGGAGGCTGCCGATTGCGGACAGCCACTCTGCTCGCCTGTGAATGGAGGCTGAAAGGAGTTATCCTTTTATTTGTTTAGTATTTGGCATTGTAAAGAGTATTTATATGTTTGTAAAAAAAATAATAATAATAAAGTCCAGACTCTTCCATCAATATTGGCAGATCCAAGTAATAAAATCAGTATGTATGTTTTTTTCTTTTACTAATGGAAAAACGCCTCTTTTTAATTCATGTGTGAGTTTATGTGAAAATAGCCGCGACTAAGAAATATGAGTTACTTATTACCATGATTCACACCTGTGCACACAAGCTGGCAGCAGAAAGGACGAAATATTAATCTCATTGAACCCGCATTTTATAATCAAATTCAATACAGAACAGCCGTTTTGAGACAGGAGGTAAATCACGACACACACGACGTTCACTTGCCTGCCAGTTTTGAAGAGAAGCGCGAGGTGCGATCGGCGGGAGACGCTCGGTGGCCGTAAAGCAGCAGATCGCTGTGTGCTCATTAAGCAGCACCTCTGATTCCCCTCCGCGCTCTCTGGCGCCTGACTTTAATATTGAAAACATTAAATATGCTTACCATCTAACTCAAAACAATATTCCGATAGCAAAATAATAATTTTGTACTACTGTCCCACATAGGCTAATATTAGGACTTTGCAGGCCCCATGAAGGAGGACAGTTCCTGCATCTCGCCCGATGCGCATCGTGAGGCGCTTCACACAGACGTTTAGGTTTCCACCGGTACGGCCGTGTCTGAAACGGAAGCTGCGCTGGGCTGCTCACGCTACAGATAATGACCTTAAATGCCCCGTGATGTGACAGGGAGGTGGACCACCCCGGCCCGTGGATGCAGACACGGTGAAGGAAGGGGAGGCCGTCTGGGTTAGCCTCCTTAAATACCTCCTGTTGGCGCATCGGACATACTTAAATGGTACTCAGACAGACCGACCCTTTATGCCAAAACATACAAGACCACCTTTTATCTTAGGAGATCAAGTCACTGTGTTTTACATTTCAATATCAAGAGACTTTTACCTTACTACAAAAGTTATTGACAATAGGCCTACACTCTCACTGACTGTTGTTATTCTTAAGGTGTTTATTTTACATAAACTCAGCCTTTGTGTGTTCTATAGTCTATATTATAATTTTGAATTGTGTTGAATTAAGACCCATGCCAAGCATGCGAAAAATATCGTCTTTTGATACCCGACAAAATCTTAAAAGCAAAGTGTTAAATTTGCCTTTTCAGTGAACGGTGGGAGAAAGTTCTATACAGGGAGAGAGATTATGTATAGGGTACTGATTTAAATACACGGAGAAAAAAAGTTTATGCAACGTAAATGTTTTCTAAGTTGCGATCTAAACGTAGTCCATGACATTAATCAATTCTGAATGCTCTTTTACCAAAAACAACAAGAATGTCCTTCTGTGTGTGACAACATCTTCAACATGTCAGTGAATTCAGAAAGGGATCCATTTCAACAGCAGTTCTCTCTTATTATGATAATGTATTAATGCTGACCCTTTAGTTAATTGTCTACACAGTAGCGGTGGGTACCTTTTGTTATGTTTTCCTGGGGGGAAGGGCAGAAGGAAAGGGATTAGAATTCTCCAGAACAGAATTCCGCAAGTACTATTAAACGCATATATTTTTTTAAGAAAAATCCCTTTGAAATTATAAAGCATGTAGTGCAAAGAGGCACACATTGCTTCTTAGGGAAAAATAGTAGACTAATACTACCACAATTATTACAATTTATAACGGTGCGATTAAAACAGCAAATCAGATCACCCTGAAGAATCAAAACGATTTATGCAATGGAAATAAAGGCGTAATCGCGTTTATCAGAACGGATTGCGTTTAGGCAAATGCCGAATATCACGTGTGACAAAATATTATTATTATTATTTAATTAAAGCAAAGATTGTCGTTTCGACTAAGCGGATCTCGTTCAAAATTCGTTGTATTCCGATATACACGTTGTGAAGTGTTTCCACTTCGCAAAATGTCTGCGGTGAGACCATCGCCTGTTGCATCGCCCTCGCGGCGCCGAGGTATTCAGACACTGAATTTCGCGCGTTAGCCGGAGATTGCGCTGCCATGGCAACCACATTAAACAGTACCTGTGAAAGAACAACATGGCGACGCCAGAGTGCTGCGCCGCGTTTCTCTAAAATATGTGCCCGACCATTAAGTTTTTCCGGATAGTCCCTTGTGCTTTAAGATAAATTTAGTTAGGGCTCTTGTTGTATGCACACGCCGTCCGATCATTCCAGTATTTTCGCCCACTTCTAGTTAACTAGCAAATAAATGAATTGCTAAAGTAATACAAACATAGAAAATACGACCAATTATACGTACAATTAAACGCAGGCAGAATGGAAAAGGGATAATAGTGTTGAAGATGCGGCGACAAAACCGTATACAGAACTAAATGGATATGGCGAAATTACAATAGCTGAACCGTAGACTTTTTTGGCCACGTACCTTCACACCCACTTTGCTTTTTGAACTCGATTCACCAACTGGACTCGCTACTACTGTACCATGTTTTTTTTCTCCTCGATATGACTATGACCATTATCTGTATAAGGAAAAGGTATTTTAAAAGTTACTTTTTGTTGCTTTTTTTGCAAAAAAGTTGTCACCTAGAATCAATAACGTGCTTTTTGATTATAGATCATGCTTTATGTTAATCAAAGTACACCCTAAAAATAAATATGTCAGAGGAGAACTAGAATCTGTTTCTGATGTGTTATATATGACAAGAGAAAGTGGAAAAAGTTTATGTCAAAAATGTCGTTTGGGTTTGTATTACAATGTGAGTAATTTATTTCCTGTAAAAAATCGTCACTTTAAATTAAACTCCCTTAATGACGCTGTCTGGAGAACCATGGACATAAAACTGTTCTCGTGAACATTTAAATTACCACTTATGCTATTTCACTTTTAGTCTATGCTAATCTTTAATACTCGATCTGCGCCCAAAAGATTAAAAGAATGGTTACACCAATCTTGACTTGAATTTTCAGGGTAACACTGATAAAAGAGCACAAGCTTAAAAGATGCAAGTGCAACGTAAATTTCTACTGCACCGACAGTTTTGGCAAACACCACCAACAAAATCAAACACAAACCGAAGACGTTTGCCCTCTCATGCAAATAACACGTCGCCACTCTCCATATTATGCATCATGCATAGTGAGGCTGATGACAAATACTGCACGTAATTTGGAGTGAAATCACAGAATTAAGGACATAAATATAATCAATGATATAGAAAAGAACTCAACGCGTGCAAAACTATATACATAGACCCATATTTTAACACTGAGGTTTGTGCAAGTATATATGTGTTAACCAGCCAATAACCAAGGAAATTCACAGACTGGTTTCTTGTGACTGAACAAGATCCATCCATCCATGCATACACCCAAACATCCAGCTGTACATCTTCGATTATAGCTAATCCGGACAGGCCTTCATGTTATACAGCTAGGAATTTAACAAGGGTCATTTACGCCAAAGTTATAAGATAAACACCACGAATAACAGAAATCCGGCGTACAAGCAAATATGTTTTGAAATTATGCAATTTTTTAAAATAAACATTTTTAAATAAACATTTTTTTAAATATTATTATAAAGTTGTGGTGTTTCTCAACAATTTACCACAGAACAAAAATACCCAATAATGTTTACAAACTACAGAAATTTGGAGTTAAACTTATGTTTAAGGAAATACGGGAAAATTATAAAAACTGAATACAGGACGAGTTAGTCAAAACTTAAAACTTACTTTGTTCTGGCGTATTTATTATATAAAAACTTCCGAACCTTTTAAATACAATTAAGCTAAATAGTTATTTTTTTTGCGCAAAATGACTTACTAAAAGCGTAACGGCTTATAAAGTGCGCAGTTCTGCATAACATCTAACTTGAATGCTTAGCGAGCCGACGTGTAGGCTATTAATACACAAGTAATATATTTAAGATGAGATAAGGTAAGTGACTGAGTGAGAACAAACCAAAACGAGAGTGATACATTTCAGTTTGTTTAATTTTGCATATTACGCCGGAGTGTCGCCATTTGGAGTGAACAGGCGTGCGTTTTAGCTCGGAGACGGAATAAACAGGGTCCAAATTGACCGGAGCTGCCCGCCTTTACTGGGGGGAGTTAATCTAATGCTTGTCCACCCCCTCTGAGTGGGGAAGACGCTGGCATTCACGCTGCTGCGGAGCTGAAAGAGGCGCCGCACCTTTGCGCAGCGGCCGCTCTTCAGCTGAAAGGTCTCCCTCTCCGTGCACAAAGGCGGCTGCCGGAGCGGACCGCGGACAGGCGCTCGAAGGCGTAAGAAGCCGCCTCCAGCCGCCGGGACGCCGACTCCGTAACGCCGCTCGCCCGAAAAGCGCCATATATCCGAATTTTAGGCTCCCGATTGAGCGGCCCGCGCAGGTAAGGACTCCGCAAGCGGTTTTGCCAGTAGTGAAAGCGCGGGGCCCGAGTAGCGTTGAAAGGCGACCCGATTCCTCTGCCTTGCTTTCCCGAGCGTGGTTGTTTTTTTTTTGCAGAAAATGGCGTCATCGCTGTCTTGTACTCTGCCTCCACAAGGAGGGGAAACACGCTGGTTTCTGAGGCTAAAAATCGCCCGCCGGGCTTGTGATCAGATGCTTCGCTTCTCGGGGGTGGGAGCCGGTGCACGTTTCGGCCGTCGGCCGGCGTTTATACGCGACTTTGTGCGAAATCGCAGCCCGTGGAAAGACGCGCAAAAGCCGGAAGGGTCACCGGAGCTGTGCGCCAAGCTCCGTCTTGGAAAAGGTGGCACGGAGTCGCAAAGCGCAACATTTTTACACTTGAAATTTCGACATTACTGGGGTAGCTCGGGGAATAACGTGGGGCGTAAGTTTTTAAGACGGATCGATTGACGGTGTTTGACGAGAAACCGCCGCTGGCCGGGCTCGCATTTATGGATATGTGGACATGCTCTTTGTATATCTTTTCTTCGGCTCAGCCCGCTTTTGCGCCACACTCCCTGCCATGCAGCAATCTGTAAAAGGGGCCTCTTTTTACGCTTTGAAAGGTGCGTTTTGTACTTGGCTTTTCCTTTGATCAAGTTAATCTGGCCCTTTGTGGTCCAAAATAGGGGCGTTTTGGGGACTGACAATATAACCGTGTAAAGGAGATTTCAGGGGATAATGGGGCGATGCAAATCGTGCCATGAGAACGGTAAACTGTTTTGCCGTAGGTTTCCAGAAAAGAAAAGGTCGGAATAAGATTCCCATTTGGCCGGCCGGGGTGTAGTTAACACAAAAACCGGCCTCTGTAGCTGCGCAACGAAGGTCCCGCTTTGCGCATATTCACGGGCGCCCAAACGGCCGCCAGCTGCTTCGCGTAGACATATTTATATGTATATATATTTTAACCGCTGGTTAACCTACTTAAAAATCCGGTTGCCTGCATCTTTTTGGGTAAAGCTCTGCTTGCGTCCTGGCGGTCTGTCCCGCGAGTTGAGCGGAGTTGGATGGGGAGTTGAACGGCACGCCGCGTCCCCAGCCCGCTACGCCCTGTGCCCCCGGCGCGTACGGCCGCGCCGCGCCGAGCACGCAGCTCCTATCTGGCGGCATTGAAACCACGCGGGATCGCAGACCCGTGTCCGTCCCACCGTTAGACGAACACCTCAGCTAGGGGAACGAGTTAGCGTGTGCACAAGTGCAGTTGTCAGACCGCACGTACTTAGGCCCACCAGGTTACCGGCCAGGGTACAGATGTCTCACATGGTGCCTCCCAGTGCTGTTTGTCGTCTGCATCCTGCTTCTGGTTTTGGGATTGCGGGGGGATAGCATCATCCGAAGTGCAGATTCGGGCCGAAAATCCTTGGGGGGATGAAGAGTAAAGCCATTAAGTGGATACTCGGCGGTGCCGATGCAGACGCCGGCGGAGGAGCTTGGCTGCGCCTTTCCAGCCTGTGGTCCTAAACGTGCCCGCATTTAGTGGCCCCCTTCACTTTGGCGCGCTGTAGCCGGCTGTCCGCCTATATGCATGCGACTGAGGCGGCCAAGCGTCCAAAATAGACACCAGTGATTCTAAATCAAGAAGTGTACATCTCGCCTTACCCTGGTCGGTCACATCGGAACCGCACTATGATCAGTGGGAATGATGGCTTTGATCAGATCAGAGTGAAACCATGGACGCCCCGAGTAATAGTGCGTGTCATATAGAGGTGTGTACCAGGAAAGTCGGAGTTCGTGATGTTACCTATTATTGTGGTATTCAAATAAGCTGATCACATCGGCCTAGTTGAGAACGGTAGTCACGAAAGGAAACACCGTGTTAATGCAGACATAAACACGCCAGCAATTTAAATATAAAACACCGTAACATCTCTTATGTAGGAATTACATCGCAGTAAGCCATGGAAACGCCAAATCTGTTTGATTTAATACCAGGGTCACTGTTATCAGTATTGATCTAGAGAATTATCCCAAAGTATGGGATGTAATACTGTTCCACATTCATAAACAGAATGCTTCTAAACAATGTTATTCTATATAGGGAAAGTTTGGGCCCAAGGTTGTGGTTTTTCTTATCTGAAGAAAATGCAGTGCTTTAAAGTTTATATAGTTTAAAGCTTTACTGACTGTACACTTTTGAATTTCACAAATTCCAAATGGTATCCACATGCTTGCTTGGCGTGAGCCCTTCAGTGCCATGCCTCAGTCATTCTGCATCTTCGCTTTGCTTGTGTGGAAATTTACTGGTATCAGACTTGAGCGTCATCAATTTAGATCAGGGGTGGGAAATATTATCCAGGAAGGGCCGTTGAATATGCAGGTTTTTGCTGCAACTCCCTAATTAGGTCACTAATTAGAGGACTGATTGGCTGAAGAGTCCTCACACCTGAATTTGAGCAGCTGACCTAAAGGTCATCCCAAAAACCTGCATACACCAGTCCTTTGAGGATAAGATTGCCCACCCCCGATTTAGATGAACTGAACCAGTGAAATTCAATATACTCCATAGGCTGGCTTTTGTATTTGTATTTTAAATTTTTTTTGCAGATTTTTTACATCTAATTTTAGCGGAGTGTCCAAGTCCTTCGGACCTGTGCTCTTCATCCACAGAGTCCTTCATTTATTCTTTGCTGTGCGACATTTGGTGCCCTGTGCGGAATACGATTGGCAGGGTTTGCTGGCCAATGAAATCACCCCAGGACTTTTAATTGACTGGGCTTTGTCTGGCTGTTTACTGTTACTGACAGGAAGAGGAATGTTTGCTTCCTGTGACTTTCGGAAGGTATTGCACAGTATGTGTGACATTTGTATGGCCTGTGAAGTGATTTCTTGGTGTTTGCAGCCTTCCTGCAGACATTGGTTGGTGTGTGACATAAGTGAGGTGGTGCCTCATAGATAGCAGGCCCATTATGAATGGAATTTCATCTTTCTAGAAGGACTGGCTATATCTGACATCAGCCCATCACGTCTGGATTTGCCAGTCAGGAAGTTGTCATTGATTAGCTGAGGAGCTGTGGCGTTGCTTGTGGTTTTGAGGCAGGGAAGTGTCATCCATGCACTTTGGTGGTGAAGCTGCTGTGATGTAGCATTCATCCAGGCCCCCAACTTCTGATGTTTCATGAGAACACCTTGAATGTGTTGAGGTGCTGTTGTCTTTTATTAATCTTAAGGTGTTACTACAAAAAAATGCACACCCCCAATGGTGATCTTGGTTTTTGGCTGTCTGTCAGCTGCTGTAATATATTTTGGGTCACTACAGTGATAGAACTTGCTAAATGCAGATTTACCATTTTATCAGTCAGTGTACCTTGTAAATTTCCTAACAACTGTGAGCTTGAATTAACTGTAAGTCATTTTCTTTGTAATCAGATGACACTTTTATGAAAGGCTGGACTGTTGCTGCATTCCATTTACCTTGGAAGTCAAAAGTCAGAGCCGGGAATGACGTCGCACCCTAGTTAACCACATTCCAGTACAACTAGCCAGGTTAGCTGTTAGTAATTCCAATTCTAGCCAGGTTCATCGCTAGGCATTGTTAGCAGCTATGCATTGCGTAATACTACAAAATTACAATTATGTGACGTTTGTATTTATAAATATCGCGCAAACACCGTGACAACATGTCCACAGATAGCGGTTGGATAGTACTGATTTAATGAGACAAGACAAAAGTATAGTATAGTAAAGTATAGTATTAGTACTAGAACAGTGAAGTACTACAGCTTTTTACTCTTGATGCACAGAGCAGCCATCATCAGTTCTGTTGTCGAGGTTGCTCCGACTTTCCGAGTTGGACATCCTGATTAGAGGGTGTGTTTTAGTTGAAATTTCCAGTTAGGAACTCAGAAATTCTGACTCCTCAGTTCAAATGCAATGTGCCATGTAAAATCACTCTGCCAAGTCTGGGATTTGAACCTGAAACCTTCTGATCACAAGCACGGCCCCCTAACCCACTGAGCTACACAGTGCTGTGGTGTTCAGGCCACTGGGGTTCCTACTGACATTTCACCAAATGCGCAGATATATGGAATCATCGATTCACAAGTTCATCCACACAAATGGTTGTTAGCTTATATTGGGGGGAGGGGGAACAAATTTAGGAGCAAAATTGGAAATCTGAAGTTGTCCTCTTGATTTTCTTGAAAACTTATACAGTGAAGCACAGGACTGCAAAGGGAGGTGCGGGAGGAGGTGTGGGAGCATCGTCTCCTCCCAGCCAGCTGAGGACCATCAGTGATGTCAGTTGCTGCCTGAATTGGCACAGCCTCGGTTCTGAATCGATTGTGACACACGTGCAGCATAACAGGAAGTGTAGCCAGTGGCCTGCCGTAAACACATGAATGAGTATCATCCGAGGCGGGGTGTGGCCGGTGAGCGGAGGGGCACGCGTTACCCTTTCAAATGCGTTTTCATTGGGCGCCTCTCTTATTTTCACCTGCCGTTGACTTGATGCAGGGGGTTTTGAACCCTAAAATAGCCATCACAGATGGCCAGCTAACTAAGAACTGTAGAAAGGTGCAGTGATTGCAGTCTAGGTGTCCTGGCAAGCAGACCTGCCATGGGCTACTTTTGAAAATGGTGTTGGTCTCATGACCGTGACCCCGGCTTCACACAATAACTGGTGTTGAGGGTTCCGTCTTCCTCTTCTCAGAGTCTTGGCGAAATGCTCTCTCCCTTGGTGTGAATGAGGACAACTGAATATCAGTCTACATGGCGTACAAAAATAGTTCCTCTGGAAAAATAAGGGGCTAACGGTGCCGTTATAGAAGTAATGGAGGAGAAACCTGAGAGCTTATTTTGACCAGTAGAATAACTTGAGCTGGCAGGAATGTGCGTAATGGTCACCTGAGGCAGACTGGTAACTGCAGCATCTGGCCTTTTAGAACCAGGGTGTATTTGGGTCCAGAATTCCAGGGACTTTCAGAATCCCCCCCCCACCCGGAGGTGGTCAGGCAGGTGTTGGGCTGATGTGGGCTGTGGTCTCTTGGCAAGAAGGAATGATGAGACAAATGCAGGGAACCAACCTAAAGTTAAAGTGCTGTGAAACACACAAACTTTCTTTGCAGAAGACTGGAGTCAGATATACAGATTTGAAGACATCAGGAAGCACTGTCCTTTAAAATGATGTTAGAAACTTTTTTTTGTTTCATTTCGAACATTAAGATGGTCCTTTTAAGATGTTCAGATGATTTTCTCTAGAGCTCAGTGATTCTTCTCCAGATCTGCTGTTCTTGGTTGCATCTCTCCCTCTCATGCTGTGAAGGCCGCAGGCTCCCAGCCCTGCGACGGCCAGTGTTGCTGGGAGTGGCAGTGAGTCTGGTCCACCTGCCCCCATGCAGGCCTCACTGTCTGGCTCAGTGACACCCCTGGCAGGGTATGGTAGCTCGAATCTCACCATTACAGGCTTGGATTCTCAGTGAGAGACGAGCTCATGATCAGTTCTTCATGGAAAAATGAATTTCATTAGCTTGAACTTTAGCACTCCTCTCCCGTTTGCGTGTTTAGAGCGCCATCTGCTGCCCTTTCGCTATATTGAAAGACAGTTGCTCGTGAAATGAAGCGTGAGAGGAAGTCTGTGATCAGCTCAAAGGGAGAGGTAAAGTTTAGGCCGTGACGGTGGACAGTGTGACCGAGTGCTTATGACGCTTCTCTTTGTGAAGTAACGACTTTTAAAAAGCAAAAACGTACAACTTGAAGGTGTACAGAGTTACTGAAGTCAGTGAAACTGAAGATACAAAAGATTCCTGTCTAACGCACCTCTACTGACAGGCTCAGGGAATCTCCAACGTGGTTTTAAAACCATATACAGCTTTCAGAAAATGCAGGCCTGAATGTCAATGCATTTCAGGAATAAAGTTGAACTAATGGTTTATATAACATTGTTATAATAATATGATAATGTTGTTTGGTTGTAGGAGACGGTCAGTTCAGTGTTTTGAGATGCAGTATTTTAGACGGCAAAGAATGTCTGGGTTACACACCTTATTTCTGACACAAGCCATTTTCCAGAGGAACTTTGTTTAAAAATAAAAATAAAAATCGACTGAGGACCCCCCCTCCCCACCAAAGGGTAACATCAGTTTACATGTGACCTGTGGGACTTCTGTGTTTATAGAGCGAAGCGTTAACTCCAGGGCTGTGGAGTCGGTAGATAAATGCTCCGACTCCGACTCCTCAGTTTCTTAATCTTCCGACTCCGACTCCCCGACTCCGACTCCCCGACTCTGACTCCTCTGTATGTATATACTATGCTAATGTATTTTCTACATCCATTGAAGGAAAGGAAGGCAACATACATGTCATTTCACCACAGAATTACTGGCTAGGAAGCCAACACTCTACTATAATGCCAGATTAAAGACAAACACAATGAAAACAAGGTTTCAAGGGTAGCGCATAGCGAAGGGGAGCCGACGGAGCTGAGAACACATCAGATGATTTTTCAGGCGTTTGACGCGTGATGACTCGTTGAACGGCCGAAAAATCGGCAGTGCATCTGTAAATGTATGGGGGGCTTTAGGCTAGGTTCACAGTTCCCTGTAACAGTGGAACACGACACAATGGAAAGCGGTGCCGCACCTTACCTGTGCATTACATCCCATATAGTGACGCATACAGTCAATGAAAAGCATGCTTCATGGTTACTTGACATGTTCGTTTTGTGGTAACATTATGCACTGCATGCATTGGGCTTTATTCTTACAGCAGAGAAGTAGTTCATTATGACTGTTTGTGAATTGGGACATTTCAACTTACTTTTTTAATTCCCATTTAAATTTTGTAGGAGTCAGAGTCGGTTAACTTTTTGCCGACTCCGACTCCACAGCCCTGGTTAACTCGCGTAGCACAGCTGACTGCAGACACACTTTCTGCTTTTCCAGGTCACTGCGAGGAGGAGTATGGAGAAACCGCACTCTGCTCTGAGGAAGACCCCTCACCTGCGGAAGCAGGTACCGGAGCCGCCCCGCCCCCCAGTCTCTGAGGAGGCTGCCTGATTGGCTGGCTGCAACATCCACGTGTCCTTAAAGGCACAGAGCTTGGGGAACCCGTGAAAGACAACATCCGTTAACCGCACGCCGATTGCTTATGGCATGTTAAGCACTGGGGAGATTATGCTCAGTGACGCAGACGCGATGGTAATCCTTGGTATTTTTTCAGCTTGGACAGGCACAGTAGGGTAGTTACTCATTAAAGGGGTGGGCAGAGTTTGAGGATTGCGTTTGCGATTTTTGGGGCCAGGTTGGTGAGGTCAGAGGAGAGGAGGAACCAGCCATAATCAGGGCTGACCGAGGCCCACCTGTCTGTTGGGAGCTGTCAGAATGATCCCTCTTGCTGCTTCCTTGGTTCAGCAGCTCAGCAGGATGGACTGGGAAGTAGGGGAGTCCAAGCTCCAGAAGACCCCAACCAAGGACCAGTGCTGCCAGACAGAGCAGCACCAGGACGACAGCGAGGCTGCGGTGCCCTGCACAGACGCAGACGTGGGGCTCAAAGCACCAGGTGACCTTTACGTGCTGTGCGTGTTCTCAGTTGTGTAGCTTCCCACGTTAACAGGCCTGAAATTAGAGCTCTGGGGTTTTTGTTTGGCTGCTGAATGCTTTCACCGTGTGACATCACCACAAGCGAAAATTCCTCCAGTTACTCCACTTTCTGCAGCACTTGTTCCCACCCACTTCCCATCACATGACACAAAAACTCCAATGCCAGCCTGACTCAAAAACCAATATGTGGGGGCCATTCACTGACTTGTGAATGTTACATTAGATTCCAGATTGTCCCTTGTGTGAATGTGCTGCTACTCCAGAAGTGAAATTAAATTGCTGCTACACCAGACTGTGCAATAAAAGACAGAAGGATATCAAAATAAGTACTTAAAATATAGAAATGGATAAAAAGTTAAAAGAAAATACAAGTACAATGAATGAAATGACCTTTTCACTGTATTTAATATGTAATATAAAGGTAGTTATACTACAATTCAGGTTTCAGTTCAGCCAAGACTGATTAAAATACCAAACACCTGCTTGAATGTCTCATGGCTGTGTTTATGTGTGACCTGTAGGAGGCGATAGTGCGGGAGTGGGATGGGCCACAGAGATCCAGTGACAGGTGGGGGGTGGGCACAGATCTAATGACAGGTGGGAAGGGGCAGAGAAATCCAGTGAGGGGTGGGATGGGGTACAGAGATCCAGTGACAGGTAGGGAGTGGGGCACAGAGATCCAGTGACAGGTAGGGAGTGGGGCACAGAGATCCAGTGACAGGTAGGGGGTGTGGCACAGAGATCCAGTGACAGGTAGGGGGTGTGGCACAGAGATCCAGTGACAGGTAGGGGGTG